ACCGACTACAACAATTTTGTCGGTCACCTGATTTCCCATCTTCACGACTCCAAAATCACCATATCTATAAGAGGAGAAAAAACATTTGTGTGGAGTAACATGGAAGGAGGCACCAGAGTCAATAATCCAAGTGCAGTCATCATATGCAACATTCAGAGAATTATCTTCACTGAGGAGAAATATTTTGGCATCAGCATTGGCAACCACCATGGTGGTCCTCTTGTCTTCTTTCTTCTTTAGAACAATTTGATCCAGCTTCACCGTACCATTCTTCTTACCCTTTTGTAGATTTTTGCTATCCGGCTTCTTATGTCCAACCTCTAGACTTATCTCGTCCATCACGACCCCGACTCTTGCTACGACACTAGGTGTCGGACCTTCCTTTATTCTCAGCAACATTTGGGGTATTACACCTTTGTAGGTGTTGAGTTGTTCGATCATGCTCATTTTGTCCTTGTATTCTAGCTTCGCAAGTCAGCGAACCAGATGTGGTTTATTTTTGGGAGTCTTCTTCTGAATCATAAACTCTAGCTTCGTACAACTCGTACGCGTTTGTGAACTTGGACACATGCTCAAAAAGGCATTTGTCGATATACTTTCTAATCGTGGTTATCGCATTTCAACTCAAGATCTCTCATTCCTTCTAAATTTTACCTTCATGCCTCTCTTCAAGGATGATGAACTTATATAAGTATTTGCCATAAAGATGGTCTTCCATCATAGGTCTCCAGTATGTGAAGGTGTCTCCAGTCAGCTTGAACATATCACCATCATGTGAAATTCCACTGATCTCCATCTCTTCTCCTCTAGAATCCTTCGAACTCAAGCTCTGATATCACCGTTGGGAACTCGAATCCCTCAACCTAGGTTAAGATATATTTGCGGAAGTCAGACATCGAGCTTAGAGCTAGGCTATTAGAGAGCTCAGTCTGAACTCACCAGGTCGGTCTATACGCAGCAGAAATAGAAAATTGCGAAGAAGAGAGAGAGAGAGAATGAACACAAGAGATTTTAACGTGGAAAAACCTTCTCCAAATTGAAGAAGTAAAAACCCGCAGAACATTAATCCAGAATTAAACGTCCACTATGTGAATAATGGGTTACAAGAAATCAAACTTAACCATAATGGTGGTACACTCAAACCTAACCTACAATGGTGGTATTCAAATTTTTGTAGAGAAGTCTCACTCAAACTTCCCTCTAGATGTGCTCTCAACACCTTAGACTCTCAAGTCTTTCTATCTTTCTTCTTTTTTTCTTTTCTTTTTTCTAACCTACCTCCAACCCACAACTAATATTTATATAGGGGAAGAAAGAATGTTTAAAGTTTAGGATTTAAGGTTTCTTAAACCCTTCAATGGGCTTTGCACTTAGCATTGAGGAGGAAAGCCCAACACCTATGTCATGTTCACATGACACAACACGATACAAATAACATGTAAAAATATTAATATAGGTCAATTTCGTGAATTGACACCAACATGGTACTAATTTTTCTATATTAACTTTTACCAATACGAACACGATACGAATTTAAAATTAAATAGACTCAACCACAAATTTTTTATGGCATTTAAGCAAATCTTGTTGAAAATTGTCACACATACTTTGAAGCTTCATATTTTCTCTCCCACTCCCACTCATCTCTCTACCTAATTTCTATTTTATAAAAAAAAAAAGTTGATTCATTGCTTTTGTCTTTTGAAAAAAATAATCGAGAGGCGACAAATATACATTATAGACAATGTTAATAAAACCGGCCTGGAAGGGTCGACTCGAGAACCGATAAATCGGTCATATAACCGGTCCAGGTGAAGCAACAGACCGGCCATGCATTAGAACCGGTGCGACCCAGTCGATTTTCGTGAAAATTGGTGACCCGGTGACCTGACCTTGTTCCAACAAAAAAAAAATTCAAAAAATATCATAATGGACATATTTGAATATTTTTTGCTTATTGACTTACATAGGTTATGTACCTACAACACTAATACTATCTCAATTATGCACTATACAGGAAATTTTGATTTGATTTATAACTAGAGATGTCGTTTACTGAACTTGCAGCCATGTATCACGATCATTATATTTTTGTTTGATCCTTTATTGGAAAATAATGTGTAATTTATTATTTTTTATATTAAAATATTTGAATTTTTTATCATTTTTTTAGGTATTTGAGTATGTTTATAATTTTTTAATATAAATTATAGAATTGCATATAATTACTGGGTCATGCAGACCCACTAATTGAACCAGTTTCCTAATATTTTGATCGGATCAATGAACGATCGATTTTAATAACATTAATTATAGATGTCACGGTCGAAGTTGGGCAAGTAGAGTTGTTAAGTTTATATACATATTTTTTATTGGGAAAAATGTTTATCATTCTAAATGACATAAAGTTATATCATTTTAAGAGAGAGATAGACACAAAAAAATATTTTTTTATTTAAAATTTAAATTAAAAAAATCACTCACTTTCTCTCTCATGATTTCCATTTCTTGTGTCTATCTCTCTCTAAAAATGACATAACTTATGTTATTTAAAATGACAAACACCAAACCATTTTGTATTATTTGTTTTTCTTGTCTCAGTTAAACTTATTGCTTGAATGTCAATAAAATTGGTTTAAGTGGCCCAATTCGTGATGGGCCAACCCATTAAAGAATATGCATCCCCATGTGTCTCACCGGATGTTTTCGTCCTTGAACTGGTTCATGACAACAAAATTATTAGTTGCTACATCTTATTGAACCTTTTATAAAAAATAAGGGAATATATTTTCTCAGACTAGATAAAACAAAATTGTCTTATATATATACAAAAAGTAAGGGACCCACTAATCTCTTCTCCTTATTTATTAATTTATTCTCTTTAATGGATCCAACCTATTATTTTGTGTACGCATAAGATAAAATTAACTCATGAGAAACAATATTTCCTATAAACAAATATGCATTTGATGCTATTTATCTCAGCTGCATCTTAATAGTTCTTCGAAATCTTCAAAATAAAAAAATACTAATATTAGCTTTTATAAGAAGAATATTAGCGGGGTTGGATATGTGTTCGATTCCCGCTGAATGCATTCTAAGAAGAAGAATAATTCTAAATTCTTCTAACTAATTCTTTTAATTGCTAAGTAAAAAAGATATTGAATATTTTTTATACTTATAGATATTAAATATATATATATATATATATACTTTTTATTTAATTATTTTTGTACTAAGAAGATTATTAGGAACTATGCTTTAGAAAATATATCAAAACTTGTGCTATAGGAAGCTAAAATTATTCTTTCAACCATTGGCAGTAAATTAGAAAAGTTACACTAATTAAACAAAGAGAAAAACTACTTTTATGTTATATGTGATAAATTTCTCTCCTACACTTCCTTCGATAAATGTGTCACTTTTTCTTTTCTTTTCTTTTATTTTTATTTTTCAGGTAGTGGAGCTCTCAAATTTATCTCTATGACATAAGATAAGTTATCCCTTTTAATATAAGATTAATAAAACTGTTAAATAAAATCATGTTCTCCTACGTACCTACCTAGTAGAAAGGTCTTGAATAGATGAGGATCATGGAGAACTTCAATTGACATAGCTGTCAGAATCATTCCAAGACAAATAAAGCTTTTGGAAGCTTCTTTTTTAGAATTTTCACTAATTCAATGTACCATTTACTAAATTTTGTCTATTACTGATAATTTTAAAGTGAGATGTGACAACTCTATCAAGAATATCTAGCCAAATGTTTTTATTATTATGGGAGCACTGAAGTCGGCATTCCTTTTTATTAAAAAGAAAAATTTTATTTTCATTTTAATTTATATATTCTTTTATAAATTTTTTTAAGTTCTATTTTTTTTTTTTCGTTTTTGACATAGATGCACCTAAGGTTTTCTCAATATCTAGCTACTGCAACTGACAAATATGCCAAAAGAAGTCTTAACATTAATTGAGGAAACTTCTAAAATATTTATATATTGTTATTACAGTAAAGAATATTTAACTTACCAAAAATAACAAATCTAATTGTATGTATTTTATTTCATTGAACATGTTACTAGTTAATTCTACAACCAATCAATAATCATTAACTCACCCTTTATGATATATGTATGTAAGATATAGAATTTCAGGCGTTGAAGTAAATTGATTAACCATTTTTGTGCTTTAAATTGCCTTCTTTGTATATGCAGGTTTCTTCATATTATTTTATACAAGAGTCACAAGTGAGTTCTCTTTTTCTTTTTTTCCCTCTCAAACAACTCACTCACTCACTCTCTCTCAAGTATATTTGTTACATTTTTTTTTTTTAAATATTCCAATCGGTTTATCGTTTCGCAGCTAGTCCGGATTCAAGATTAAGGCTTTAAATCTCTTCCAAAGGTGATACTGGAGAGGATCGAACACATGCTCTCGCCCCCACTTGTTCAACTTCTCATACACCAACTGATCTACTACCATTTAATTGTTTCTTTTTTTAAAAATAATTTGTCATTCTTGCAAATTAACATTAATCAAGGAATTAGCATTACATGCACTCCTTTGGCAAACAACAATAGAGTCAATTAATTTTTCATTAAAATTATTATATTCAACAATCATATCCTCTAATCAATTTTTCATTATAGCAATTATTAATCAATTCTCTATTATGAATCTCATGTGTCTTCTTTTCACATGACCTGTAACGTGAAATATCACAATTTGCAGATCAACAGTTAGCAAATAAAGTAACAATTTTTACTTTCTTGAACTTCTTTATGAAAATTGTGACCTTTAATCTTTGAATGAACCATTTTCTCATTTTATGAACTCTTTATTAAAATTATGATTATTAATTTATGTATAAACGGTGATATATACTATTCACGAAAGGATTCACTAACCTTTATTATAGCCATTATAATCAATAATAATTGACCCAATCAATATTTCATCTCACTAACTTTTGATTCAACTCTAACAAAAACTGCAGACAATGCAAGGAATTTTCAATATTTATATACTTCCATAACCATAAAAAAAAAAAAACTAATATCACATTGATTTAGAAGATACACAACACAATCCAAAAGAGTAAAAGGGAATTTTTTTTTTTTTTTCTTCTTCCTGTTATGCATTCTTTAGGGTGTCAATAAGGAAGAATTTATATTAAAAAAGATGCATGTACACATTTAACTTAGAATTCTAGCTATGTTGTGAAGGTGTAATCTTGATAACAAGACCAGGGAAGACATCATCTGGGTCATGGATATGAGGGTTCTTTTCCACTATAAAGGGGTCACCACACTTGTCACTGATTGTGTGAAGTGTCTCACCTTCTCCAACCACATATATTTCGTCACATGGTTTTGACAAGACTAATTGGCTTCCTGTGAAGTTCTCATGATTCTGAATCATAAAGCTTTCCCTGAATATGCATAGCAATATAAGGGACACCACAAGAAATGAACAGCACCATGAGACTGCATCGGCTATGGCTTTGGAACTTGAGATTGGTCCCTTCCTGTGGTTAAAAGCCATCACTTAGAGAGAGAGGAAGATATGGATATGGATATGAAGTGAGTGTGAATGTTAGTTTTGGTGGTCTATTAGAAGGAGAGAGTTGAATCCAAATGAAGTAATAGGGACAATATTGTGAGTGCTACGTGAGCAACACGCTTTATATTTATATTTAAAAGGACAGAATCATGAGGGAATTGGATCCATTGATGTGTTATTTAATATCTTGTGGACCAAACAATAGTAATATATATTTGATAAGAAAGCCAAAAAAATAATAATTAAGTAGTGCCAAATTTATAATCGTTGATTTGTCTATGAATAATTAGGACATGTGATATGATCATATTAAATAATTTTTATTCGCTTTTATGAAGGTTTTTATTTTAAAAGAAGTCTGAAAAATTTTAGGGGTTCCAATAATAGTATTTTTACAAAATTACAGGAGTGCACAGACAAAATTTAACTTAATTCAACAAAATATTCTTATATCCATCTAAGAATAAAAAAATTTTAAGAAAAATTTCAGACTATGCGCATTATAAAAAACTTATTTGTTTTATAAAATCTTAAAATCTCGTATATGACTATATTTTATGAGAAATGTTATATTTACAAACTTTTTATTTATAAACTCGTACAAACTACACTAAGTATCCAATCAAGAGTGTATGACCGGTCATACTTAGTATAATTTGTAAAAAAAAATTTGTAAACGGATCCTTTCTCATATTTCATATACACCACTAGATATTTTTTCGTACTCTTTTAATCAATAGTCACAATTGAAATCTATTTTTCTTTCTTTTGCTCTCTTAAATAACCCACTCACTCTCTGTACCTTCACTGCTCAATTTCTTATGTTTGTCTCTCTTTTTCTTTTTTTTGGTGAATCTTATGTTTGTCTCTTTATTGAATCAAATCAAGGGAATATCTAGTTAATAGTAATGGAGGCAATCAATTTATTATTATAATCAATAATATATTCAATAATTTTTTTCATAATAACCATATAGTCAATAATAATGAAATCAATTAATTTTTTATGAGTAAACACCTTTTTTAGTCCCTGTCAATATCTACGAAGTCCTTTTTAATCCCTGGAAATAAAAAAGGACCAAATTGGTCCTTGAAATTACAAAAAAAGGATCATGTTAGTCCTTATGTCAACTCCCGAATATGTAGAGTGACCCTTTTCTTGTACTTTCAGGGACCATTTGGTCCTTTTTTATTGCCAAGTACCGAAAAGGACTTCATAGATATTGCCAGGGATTAAAAAGGGTGTTTACTCATTTTTTATTAACACTAATTTCTTTTTGACTCCAACATTAACAGGAATTTCATTTTATGTTTTTTTCTTTTCCACTAATTCTTTTGTTCTTATGATTCATGGTTTTCATCATATGTGTGGGTAGTGGGGCAAAAATTGCATTGGAGCTTATCTTGAAAATATAATGGAGGGTGACTGAAGTACGTTGGTTTAGGGCTTAATGATTACTCAAAACTGAGGCATGCTTAATGAAAGATATTATGAAGACTTGGGTTGTAAATGGTGGACGGTTGACTTGCATATGTGGTCACAATTTCAGTGCTTTTGAGATGTGTCACATTACAGCCACCCCAAAAAAAAATTGGGTGATAGGAGGAGGTAATGTGGACAAACATTAATCACATATTTCGAAAAGTTAGAAATCAATTTCATTTTGAAATGAAATCGTAAAATAGGAAATGAAATGATTAACTAACAAGACGTTAGCCGAGTGGTAGCAGCTCAAATTTCTCGTAAGATGGAGAACGCAAGTTCAAGATCAGAGAAGTGCATCTGTTGAAAGAGAGAATCCTTAACTGCTTTCAATCCCCGACCGAATTAGTCCTAAAAGATGAACCAGTTAATAGAAATACTAACAAAAATAAAAATAGGAAATGATTTGATTCTAGAATAATCTAAAAATCTGTTTAAATTTGAGTGAGTTTGATTTTTAAACCAATTAGACTCAAGTCTAAATCAATTCAAATTAAGTATTTGTTTAAATGAACTTATTGTATTCAAAATTACTTAACATTTTACAGATATATTTTCTTCTTCTTTTGAATATTTTTTTTTGGACCTAAATTATATCAATTTAAATCTTTCTTAATGATTAGAACCAGTGTAATTAGAATTTAAACAAATTCAATCCAAAAAAGGAACAAAGAAATTAAATGTAAAAGGTGATACCCTTAATTGAAGATTCAGTGGCCAATTTGAATCTGTTAATTTTGCACATAGGGAAAGGATATTTGGAGTGCTTATGATTGTGATCCCATTATAAGTCTGCTTACACACACACATACAGAAAAAATAAATAAAAAAATAATATAGATGAATAACTTGAAGTGGAGTAGTGTCTCTTCCACCCATTTCCACACAATCAGCAAACCAGTTACTTCTTCAGTGTAAAACAACAGCCCATGCACCAGAACCTATTACAATGGCTCAATAGAGTCATGTCATTATTGACTGAATTTAGTGGTATAAGACTGGATTATTCTTGTTGAATTTTAGAGGCAATAAAATCCATAAGGATAAAACCTATCACATTTATAAAACAAATCAAGATATTTGGAGACATTAACATAAATTAAAATCTGCAATAAATTGTAAACTTTGTATATCCAAGCAAACTAAGTTTTCCATCAGATATTCTGATCTAATCTCCCATTAAAGAGTAAGCTGAAGGGCTCAAATTCATTTCCTGAAACATCATCAAAATGCCATTGAGTTAAAAACTTCTAGACAAAATCAACTCTAGTAGGTATGCTCTTGAAAAGAATGGGCAAACTTGTGCCAACTCAAGCTATGGAATAACTATTTCCCCCCGTTCTTGATTAAACTCTTGCTGATATACATCTCTGCCATTTTCTTGACCCTTGATTCTAGAGCTTGTTCTGCCTGAAGAAAGATTATCATAAATCAAGTAATGAGTGGAAAACATGGCTAACATAAACCTGTAACTGAAACAAGATTTTTACTTCTCTTACGTCACATTTACTGGCAAGATAGGAGCAGGCATGATCTTCCATGTATTCAAGTAGTTTCAAGTTTATTTTCTTGTTTTCTACCTCCATCCATTCTTTTTTATCTGAAAGAATAATAAAGGCTCAAAGAAGATACAACTACAGCCAAGATCATTTAGGATGTGCATTGTCTGACACATCACTTTCCTATTGAAATCTTGCAATATCCGGAAATGAAACATCCTGCCAAAACTTTTATAGTTTCTATTGGTAGTTATTTTCAGAAGCTTATCTGGTTTCTAACTACATATAACACATGATGAGGTACCTAACTTTGAGAACAGTTGTTAAGTAAGGGAAGAGAAAAGGAGAGATATACGAAGAAATCCTTATAGGGGAGAGTTAATTATATAGATGAAAAGTAATAAATACAAAAATCACATATATACTAATTATCATAATTACATGATTATGGTTAGCTTATACAATGAATCCAGACACTACTTATATACTTACCAACACTCCCCATCAAGCTAATATATATATATATATATATATATATATATATATATATATATGGGTGCATTTTTTCTACTGTTGCTGCAAAGAAATTTTTTTGCAGCAATTGATTACACTATATACTATGGGTAGTACATAGTTATAATAATAAAACTGTTTTTTTCTCTCTCCTCAGACATTGTCGGCTGACATGGCGGAGAGAAAAAAAACAATGTTCTTATTATAACTATGTACTACCCGTAGTACACAACAATGTTATTAAAACCGGCCCGGTCATTGACTCGGTCGAGGTACCGGGTCACTGATTCAACCAATGGGTCACTGGTTCAACCGCATGACCCGGTAATTATATGTAATTTTATAATTTATATTAAAAAATTATAAACATACTCAAATATCTAAAAAAAATGATAAAAATTTCAAATATTTTAATACAAAAAATAATAAATCACATATTATTATCAAATAAAAAATCAAACAAAAATATAATGATCGTGATACGGGGCTTTAGGTTCAGAAAACGACATCTCTAACTATAAATTAATTCAAAATTTTATGCATAGTACATAATTGAGATAATATTAGTGTTGTAGGTACATAATTTATGTAAGTCAACAAGCAAAAAAATATTCAAATATGGCTATTATGATTTTTTTTGAAAAAAACAAAAATTTGGATTTTTTTTTTTTGGGACCGGGCCGGGTCACCGATTTTTATGAAAATCGGCCGGTTTGCACCGGTTCTGATGCATGGCCGATCCGCTGCTTCAACCGGACCGGTTTACCAGTTCCAGGGTCGACCCGACTGGGTCGGTCCGGTTTTAATAACTATGGTACACAGTGTAAATCGATTGCTACACAAAAAATTTTTTGCAATGAAAGGAAAAGTATATTTCCCTATATATATATATATATATATATATATATATAATTTATATGTGCTAAACTGGTTACATATATAACTTATCCAGGGACTTCTCAAGGACTTGGTGAAAATATCAGTAAGATGTTTATTTGAATTAACTAAGTGAGTGATAGATGTCTCCAGATAAGATCTTCTCTCTAATGAAATGACAATTTATTTCAATGCTTTTAGTCCTCTCATGAAACATTGGATTTGAGGCAATAGGTAGTGCACTTTATTCCACCGTGAATACACCTTCCAAACCATATTCTGTTGCTGAGGCTCATGCCTAACAGAATGCCCCAACAAAAAATAAATTAGGTCTTTAGATCAAATTGAATAATAGATATGAAAAAAAAATCAAAATAATGAAAAAATAGGCAAAACAACAAATGATTTAGATTTAAGGGGTACTATATACCTAATTTAAGCTGTCAAGGATATATTTAGAGATCCACCAACCTGATTGTTTGGAATGGAAGAAAAGGTGAGCAAATTATTATAATTGATAAAATCTAACTTCCCTGGAGGAAGAAATTCCGCCTACCAATTGCTGTTGGAACAAGAGCCAGAGGTTAACAGCATTGTGAGCCAAGATTTTAGTCCAGCAGAACCAAACCTTCTGTTGTACCCAACCTTTGTATATTTCTGTTGGTTTAATTTACCAAAAGGATTTGAATCAGATAAAATCACCTGAAAGAAAATTCTTGGAAGAACCATTGCCACTAAAATTAAAACTAGCTAGTTGATAAGCTCTAACTGATTGAGTGAGAATCTCCTCATGGAACAATTCATCTAATTAGACATGGCGTGACCAAGATGTGCCAATTTTAACTTTTTTCTGGTTATAAAAATACCGCACAAAATTTTGGAAAAGAAATAGGAACCAAAAAAGAGGAAAGCGTTTCTTACAAAAGGTAGGCAGGACAATCATTTTAGTTTCTACTAGTTTGTTGCATGATGGAAAATTTTATTAATAAAGCTCTAATCCATGATCATCAACTAAGAACATAAGGATAAATAAGCAGATTAAGAATTCAAAGGACAGAAGAAGGATAATAGCCATTTCAAGACTCCAAAAGTTAACCAACGGCAAAAACATAAGGTCAAAATATATTGATATATATTAATCAAATCATCTTCAAGAACAGTCAGGCCACTGTGTACTCCAACTTCTTTGACCAAAGAAACAAGCATCTGTTAACTGTTCATAGTTTCAGACAAATTCAATATGAAAAGAAGTAAAATTAAAATTGAAGTATCTAACCTTGTCATATGAACAAGTTTCTTTTCCCTAACAATGCTCATTATTTTGCTAGAAGAGCACGAACTATGGGATCAAAAGTTACAGCATTAGGAGGGCAATTATTGTCTACCATTTTCAGAAGTAAGCCCTCTGCTTCATCTAACAGACCCTCTTTACAAAGCCCATTGATCATAATGTTATATGTTCGGATATTTGGATGACCTTTCACAGAAAGAAGTTGAAAGATATTTTGTGCAGCCTTTAGTCTTCCACTTTTGCAAAGACCATCAATAAGTATATTATATGTGCGTATATTTGGAGAAATTTCCATGTCAATAATGTGCTGAAATAAGGCAATTGCCTTGTCAAGGTACCCATGTTTGAGATAATCATCTAACAATATATTGTAAGTGATTAAATCAGGGGCTTGACCACTAGCACGCATTGCCTCAACTAGGTCCAACTCATACATGATTCTTCCCGATTTGGACAAACCATCAAGAAGACAATTATAAGTTACAGTATCAGGAACCAATTTTTTCTGATGCATTTCTGTTAAAAGCATCAAGGCTTCATCCACCATTTTGATCTTGCAATATCCATTAATCAAGGTACTATAACTGATAACATTAGGCGAGTGACCTCTTTCAGCCATCTTATTGAATACTTCTTTAGCCTCATTGACACTATTTCTTAAACAATAACCATTTATCAAAGCGTTGTAACTAACAACATCAGGCTTCCAACCTCTTTTAATCATCATAGCAAACACATTGTGAGCTTCATTGACCATCCCTAGTTTACACAATGCATCAACCAATATATTAAAGGTATAAACATCTGGCTGAATCTTTCCTTGTATCATTTCATTCAGCAACTTAACCGCTCCTTGAAACCGACCAGCACCACAGAAACCATGAATTAGAGAATTGTAAGTGAAAACATCAGGAGAAATTCCCCTGGCAACCATTTCAGAACACAATCCACAAGCATCAGTTACAAGTCCATCTTTGCACAAACCATCAACAACTGTATTGTACATGACTAAATTAGGACCAAGTCCTAGCCTCTCCATCTTTCTCAACAACTCAATGGCAGCTCTTGTTTGACTAGTTTTACACAAACCATTGATCAATGTCCCATAACAAACCTCATCAAACCTGAAACCTTTGGACACAGAATCATCATGCAAGTCAAGAGCTTTTCTAGTCAAACCTTTCAAGCACAACCCTTTCATGAGTGTGGTAAGTGTTAGCCTATCCAACTCAAAACCCCTCTTGAGAATACAACCCATTACTGAAAAAGCAAACCCTATTTGACCCAAATGGGAGAAACAGTTGATCAAGATGCTCATAGTGACAAGAGATGGGTTAAGGGTTCCCTTGAGTTCCAACCTAGCACAAAGAGAAACAACAGTGCGATACTGTCTCATCCTCACAATTGCTCCCAAAACCTTATTCATCTCCACAATGGGTGGCGGTGGAAGTGCATGAAGGAGGAGATTGAAGGAAGCCACGGCATCATCAACGGTAGAAAAGTTCTCAGCTTTTTTGCAGTTCTGAAATTTTTTGCGATTGCCACGACCATAAAACCTCGTAGAGGGGAAAAAAACGAGGAAGGTGGTGGACAATGATGATGACGATGATGATGATGCAAGAAAAAGGGGTAAGTTGAAAAGGGTGGCATACCTCGGATTCAGCATGTTTGGTCCGTTGTTGAACTTGAAAATGGAGTTAACAGGGGTTAGAGAGAAGAACTATGAAAAAACCTGCATTTGGATGACACATGTTGGAGAAAGACACATTGGATTGGAGTCGGTGGGTGATGTTGTCTTGGTTGACAAGTACCATGTCAGAGTGACTCGAAGAACAATATATTAGGTTATGTATTTAATTTTTATTTGTAATAAAAATATAAAAATAAAGAAAATAATATTTATCCTATATAGAAATGAGTTATTCTAAAAGGTTTGGAATTTGTCATTTTAAATGACATAAGTTATGTCATCTTAGGAGAGAGATAGACACAGAAAAACGGAAATCATGGGAGAGAGAAAGTGAGTGATTTTTTTTAATTTAAAATTCAAATTTTCTGTTTCTGTATCTCTCTTAAAATGACATAACTTTCTGTCATTTTAAATGACAAACACTTTTTCCTATTTTAAATGAGACGAAAACATAGGAAAGGATATTGTAATAATCAATTAGTGCTACTATCAATGTTACTCTAATCAATTTCATTGTTAGATCGTTATCTTGATCCAACGGTTATATTTATTTCCGTCTTTTATTGGTTATGATTCTCCAAATTTAATATTTTATATTTATTTATACCTTTGTATGGGTATGATTTTTCATATTTAATTCTTTTACATTAAATATGGGGAATCATAACCATATAAAGATGGAAATAAATATAACCGTTAGATCCAAATAATCGATCTAACGGTGAAATTGATTGGTAGTAACATTGATAGTAACACTAATCAGTGTTTTAAAACTCCACCCCGCCACTGGGTTGACCCGGGTCAACCCTGACCCCTCCCCTCTGAGGGTTGGGGTCACAAGTTGGACCCTATATGCATATCGACCCCTCCGACTCCCAAAATCCGGCCGGGTTACAGTGACTCCCAGGTTAAATGGGACAAGGGAGGTCACTGCATGTTTTTTTTTTAAAGAAAAATCCATGAAAAAACATCATTTTATTCAAAATATAAAAGAAAAATGTCTGCAAACCTAAATCTAATCGTTCTCTTCTCTTCTAGCGACCTAGACGTCTTCAATATTCACTTCGTTGCCGTGAATATTCTAGAAAAGGTAAAAATTTTACCCATTCAAATGAAATTCTTACGGTCGATGAAAATTAAACAAAATCTCATTCTTGAGGTTACAAGGAATTGAACACAACACCCTACACTACACACACTCTTAACACACACACCCCACACCACTAGGCTAACCCTAGTGGTGCACAAAATCTCATTCTTAGTGTAATATTAATACTTTAATAGGTTGTGTAATATTGACTTGTAATTATAATTGGTGAATTATGTTACGTATATTTTGAATCTTTGATGATTGGTGGTTTGTTTTAAATATTTTCATATAGGATATTTTTATTTTTATTTTTTTAATATATAAAACCGGGTCAGCGTAGTGATCCCATGACCCCCGGTTGAACTCGTGACCCCGTAACCCCTGACTTCGGCCGGGTCGATGGCCGGGCCGGGTTCTTAAACACTGACACTAATTGGTTGTTATAATATCCTATCCCTGAAAATATAACTTAATTTCTCTCCCATAATTTTCATTGTTTGTATTTTTCTCTCACTTAAAATGACATAAGTTAATAGATAAATAAAGCATCAATACAGTTTTTAAAAACAATTTTTTAATTTTCAGAAAAAAAAAACTTGTTTGATAAAGTGTATATTTTGTAAATAAAAATAAAAATTATAAAAAATTTCCTATTATTAGAATTAAATTTAGAGAATATGAGTATGTTTGATTATGTTCTGATTTTTTTGTTCTCAAAACTGTTTTGTAAAATAATTATGAAAATAGTTATTTAAAACAACTCACATATTCTCTAAAATTGATTCAGAAAACAAAAAGATAGTTATAATTTTTAAAATACTTTTTACAAAATAGACTTTATCAAATGGGTTTTTTTGTTCTGAAAATCAAAAAAATATTTTTAATAACAGTATTCAAACGTGGTCTATGTATGAATTGTTTATGTTTTGTATTTTGACTTTTAGCTTAAAAAAAACAAAAAAGACACATATTTTCATAACTATTCTATAAAATAATTTTAAAAGCAAAAAAACTATAACACGATCAAATAAATCCTATCATTAAACATTGCTTTTTAATTTCTCTATTGGTTAAATAGTTAATCAATTAATTAATTAAGAAAATGACGCAGCAAGAACAATGATTAAATTAGAACAACCACGTGTCAGTTTCATTTTATCCAAGTGCTTTGGTTAATAATTAAACACTTTAATTTTTTTCTTAATAGAAATTCTATATGCATGGAAAGTTTATTAATAGGTTCCGTGCAGAAAGAAATCAATGGCTTGAAATAATACAAGTAATATTTTTTTAAAATGAAATAATTTATTTTATAAAAAAATTTCTGCAACTATTAGATAACAATACTAATTTTAAAAAAGTTTCACTGAAAAATATTTAATTTAAATGCAAATATATAGAGGGTCAAACCAAGTCAATAGACATGGGTTAAAATGTTTATATCCATTTAAGTAAGAGTTATATAAGAATAATGTTGTATGAGGAGAAGGCATTTTCCTGTCCATACAATAAAATATGGGGTCCATCAATTTTTTGTTTCTCTTTTCTAATTCTGCTCTTTCACTCCTCATTATTATATCTGCTAGAAAAATTTTCATTTTCCTATAACATGTGGGATATAAGCCCCTTTAAATAAACAGATGAATAAGGATCTAATTTTGAGTTAAAAAGTTTAAAATAAATTCAGTTTTTTTAGTGTAAGTGTTTGTTTTTACTATAAAAAATAACATTTTGACAAGATACATTGCTGACGTGATAAAGATCAAAAGTCTTTCCAAGAGTATTTCTCCAAAAATCGAACTTATAATTTTAGGATTCGAATAACCACTTTTAGCCACTACGATTGGCATGCACTGATAAGGAATTATTTCAGCTTAATTAATGTTTTCAAATTTAAGTCGTGACTATGCAACTGTTTAAGAACTTGTTAGGAAAAGTTTTGTTGTCTTTGTGATGCTGTCTGACTCGACCGAATTAATCTATTAATCGATAAATCGATGGAGAAATTTCTTAAAAAATGATAATAATATTTTATTATATGACTGCTACAGATGTAACAGATCCCTGTTGAACAATTAAGAACAGAACTTCATTTTGTAGCAATTACGTTCTGGAAGTTGTGTAATAGCATGATGTTTACAACAAATACTTGAAATGCCGAGAGTCATGTTTGCTAACTAGTTCCTATTGTACAAATGCTGATCAAATTTAAAGAATCACACACAAAAAAATAGAAAAAATAATATAAAAAGAATGCACCATCCCCCATGGCCACCATTGTTCTCAAAGTACTACTTGTTGCAGCTCTTCATGAATGAAAAACAGTGAACATGTGCATACAATTGTATGCTTGCTTCTTCATCTTCTTTGAACTTCTGAAACTTCCTTTCATTACAATCTCTTCCCATTCCAGAAGAAAGCATCTTTGCATGCACTGAGCTAAGGGGCTGCTTCAGCAATGGAATCAACTATATCTATGAATCTCATACATCCATGCATATGCATGAAAACTCCTCATGTTGATAAAGCCAGGAACACATGAAGAAAAATGCTCTTGGGATTGCAAGTAGTAATATTATCTTAAAAATTGAATTAGACCTGATGCTAATATGAAGACATTGGCAAAATTTGGTTGGCTTGAGTTTCTCTATACATCATGAATGTTGGAGCCTAACAATTTTTCCTCCTCTCTTGGAATCTCTGTGAGTTGAACACCAGACCTGGTAATCTTATTCCACTCATTTTCAACTCTAAAAAATACCCACTGGAAGCGCCTGAACATCTCCAAAAGAGTGATAGTAAACACTGTCAGGTAGTTATGGCGCAGATGCGCAGATAATTTGTATGTCCATGAACATCGCAGAATAAAGTTGCTTCCAATTACCCAAAAGTATACCTGTAACAAAGAATTAAGATTTGTCAAATCAAGTGAAAATGTGTAGCGTCTTCGTCGCAAGAAGATGCATCAGCTTCTTACCCATTGTCGTCCATAAAACAGGTTGGAAACTAGACTTGGTTTGTTGAACTTGAATATGCGCGAAAAACCACTGTCAGACAAGGAAAAAAATAAAAATTCCAATATAAAGCAAAATAAGGGTGAATATTTGTCATTTCAAGGTTAAGTGTACCACACACTTCAAATTTTTGTAGATGTAATACTGGTATCTATGCAAATTGCAAGGTCTATTATACTGCTACAATTAATCTGAAAGGGAAAGATGATGGATTTGGTACCTTAAATCCCAATCTCTGGTTATATCCCAGTAAAATGAATAGAGAGAATTAATGACACTTGAGAGAAGCCACAGTGGCCGATAAAGATTTGTCCATTTCTCAGGTAAGACATGATATTTAAGGGCTGAAAGAAAAATTACTGGGACTGCTGTCGAATATTTTAGAGCTGGAAAAAAGTGCAAGTGGAGTTAGAATACTAGGATATCAAGCAAATGTATATATCACAACCATGAGAAAGAGTGCTTGCAACAATTGACATGAGTGCACAACACAAGCAGTGTTGAACATCTTAAAGAGAAACTCACACTTAAGGATCAATTCAGCAAATTAGTTTCAGAGTGGTTATTTGGTCCCTAACTGTAACTAGTGTGCAGGATTGGCCTCTGATGTAGGCCCCCATTCATCTAAAAATATGTGTGAGTGTAGTTAATATGCAAGAGTAAGTTAATTTTCTCAATCAAATGTTATTCCACAGACAAAAATATTGTCTCAAGCTATATGACAGCCAGCCAAAATGCCAGAATTGAACTCTAAACTGTATACAAAACAAATAAAAAACCAAGGAAATAGATGCAAAGCCATAAATATTCAAATAGAAATTATTGTTCAAATTAACACAATGAATTCCTTGTCCATGAAAAAGATGTATGATGAGTTTCAAAGGCTAGTGAAAGCCTTACTCCTGCTTTTTATCAAAAAGCTTTAAGTGATTATAGAGCATATAACTAACCAAGCGTAATTGCAATTTGTTCAATAACAAAGAGTACAACCGCTCAACCAGGAGGACATCTCACACTTTCAGGAGAGCAAGGGGAAAAGTTAACAACAGCAATTACCATTCAAGAGGCAGTTTTTTTCTTTGGTATCTTTATACTGGCGTAGACATTGCAATAAACGCCACATATAAGGAAGAACAAGAACCATTGGAATTGCAACTGAGTGACTACCACAAACTGAATCAGCTTCAAGCCAAGCAATTGTGGCAACCTGCATATCATCAAAAGAAAATATTGTATTAAAGTCCCTATAGCAAAAACATGGAAGGAAACAAATAAATCTGAGCGGGCAAAAGATGACAGAGAATGGAAAAGATAGATAAGATGAATCTATCTCATATTTCCCAGCTTAGCACCGATTTTATCAAAGTTCTAAATGCAAATGAGAAGATTATAAATATAAAGAAAGATCAATGATAGAAATGTGCACATGCAAAATAGGGGTACAAAGTTTTTACTCGAATGCTTCAAAATGATCCAATGAGGTGCATATAAATAATAGACCTCTGCAAACATATGAATACAGAAAATACTTTCATATGCTATGCATTCTGTGTTATATTTTATCACAATATTACAATAAGAAAATTATATCAACTCAAAAGACAGCTTAAACACTAAAAACCACAAGAACAAAAAGAAAAATTGTTAAGTTTGATTTGAATCATACCTGTCTGTTTACCATTCTACAAACTGAACGCTCCAAATCTGAAAACACCTGTATGCAATGAACAATTAGGGGCGAGAAGTAGAAAAAGGAATGATTTATTAACACAAAAAACATCAGGCTAGATCACAGCAGTACATTTTTATTTTCCCAAGTAAATCATCAAAGCAGTAAGGTGATAATCTAAATATACAAATTTCTAAGCACTTAGAAATTGACATTTATAAAGTAATAGAAAAATGCACAAAGAAATTTACTAATAGGCTATGTACTATACCTTTGCCATGGAGGTTAAAATATCAGCCACGAAAAAGTCAGGAAATGCTATTGGCTGTATGAAAAGAACCATTACTTGTGAGACAAAATGATAAACCTTATAAATGTCGTCCATGAGAAAATCAACAAACTTATAGAAACTAGTAAAATTAACTAGAACCTAAAATATCAAAACCATTGAATCAAACCAGTAACTTTAACACTAGTAAATTCACATCAATATACTAAAAAGAACCTATTGGATGTCGCAGGTGCTTTATAAAAGTAACCAAATGCAGATAACAACTCAGAATTCCATACCAGACATGACAGCCAAGAATCTTACCTGCAAAGGGAAAGCTATCCGCAATAATGTCCTCAAAAAGAAGTACCGGGAGGACAAATAGAAAACATCAAAGGGAAAGATCAAGATTACTGCAACAAAAATGTAGAGAAGCACCTGCAACATGTATATTAACTGATTAAAATATGGTAGACAAAATGGTTCTCATAGAAAGCATCACTGGAAGCAATGCTTTTGCTGGCGTATAAAAAGAGTTACTTCTGGCCTTTTTAAGAACATTAATTTAAGACATCAGCTTCTACAAGAAATCATAACTAAGAATTCCCCACAAAACTGGTACAAAAAATGACAATTACATGTACATTTTATGTACTCAAAAGAATAAAAAAATGTATATCAAAACTGGCCAATGAGTGTCATATTTAAGGAAGCAGTCAAATTCAACTGGTCGAGAGGAGAGAGAAAGCTAGAAGGAAATAACAGAGCAGATACTAAACTGGTTGAGATGCAGCCAAAGAAACTTCCCCATGAGAATAGAGATAGAGATAAGAAGTCATGCTAGTAGGGACAATGATTGTCATCCAAGTGCTACACTGAGAAAAACACAAGAGATAGAGTTAATATATAAACATGTATAATGGGTCTATACTTTATAATAGTAGCATCATCAAACCATGCTATTGAAACAACTTCCAGATGCTTTGTTGTAACAAAAAATTTAAAGTTGAAGCAAGAACAAGGATTGGAGGTTGGACTATATCTTTCTCTTTATTGCGACAAGGCTGCTATAATCAGTACGACGTTATATAACAAGGCAGATAGAGATTAACAGGCATTTTTCATGGAGAAACTGAATGAAGGAATACTCTGCATACCCTTTGTAAAATCTTTAGATTAACTAGCAGATGTCTTTACTTAAAGGTCTTGACATAAGATTTTTTCATTCAAATGTTAGCAAGATGGGCATGAGAGATGTTGATGCACCATCTTGTGGGGATGTTGATTGCTGCTGTTTCAGGCATATGTTGACAGGTAACTCTGGGAATTTACAATGTTGATGGAATATTATTTAATTTGTAATGTTGGCATTCACTTTACCATTATGTATGACTTCAAGTGTAGACCTGGAGCAAAGTGTGCTTCAACCTACAGCTTCTCTCTCCCCAGATCTACCTTTGGCTAGCCTACCGTCCCTCTACAAATTCTCTGTTTTATAATTTTCTCAACTGTTTACAACCAATACAAAGGCATAATTTGTTTTCGAGTGCCTGAGCATTTATTACTTTGATAACCAATATGTTTTGAAGAGCCAGACATGGAAAACTCCGTGGTTGAAATATTGATCGTCAAAATCGATAATCAAGAAAAACATCAAACAATTTTCCACTTTGCATTGAATAATGTTTTCTCCAAAAGGAAGGCAAAGAACCTGACTACCTTCCATATCTCTTTGTGAGAAAGGTGGTTTTGATCAAGATCAAAAATCTTGGCATAGCTTATTACATTGGATTGTAGAAATACCCACAAATTCACTCCCCAAAGCCAGACCATCATAGTCTGTAACAGCAACGACAGAAACCATCAGGTAAAGTTCCACAAAATTTTTGTTTAATGTACAACATATACATGAGAATTGACCCCCCAACTCACCACTAGAAGAAAAGGGTTGTAATACAAAAATGCCTCGTATAAAAACAGATCTCGCAAATTCGCATCCATTCTCATGACAGAATCCCAACCAACCTGATGTATGGGCAGGAAAAAGTAAATATTAGATTGAAATAGGTAAAGAAATTATAAAGAATTTTCTCAAGAGATGTTCATTGGTAAAAGAAATAGGTAAAATATTTTTTAAAGAAATTATAAAGAATTTTCATAAATATTATAAAAGTGAAAAGACAGGCTCTCACCTTGCAGCAAATAAAGCCCCATATCAGAAAGAGTGTCACCTTGAAAAACAATAGGCAGAGGTTCATATACACTAGGAGTTAAAAAATAACAGAAACTGAAGACAGACATCCAATTACGATAGGAATACAATTAAATTGACAGAGACTTCCACAAATTAAAAAATTTCAGTCTGCAAAAGAGAATTTCTTATCCTGAGTAAATTAGTTTTTAAAATTGAGTTCGTCTGACATTACAAAGGAACGTCAGAATAACATAAATGTCGCAACAAAAGACAAGCTCGCAGTTAAAACATACAGCAGCATATTCTCCACAATCAGAAATAATAATGTAAGTTGTTTACAAACCCTATGAGCAAAAACCTAATAAATAAGTTGCGAAGTGGGGAGGAGAAAGCATATCTGGTTTAACTTTGAGAGATCCAAGTAGGTCTAATATGAACAAAAACCAAACAAACATAAAGAAACTTGCTAGCAATTTCATTCCTGCAGCTGTCATAAAGGGGTGAGTTTACATTGTTTCTTTTTCCCTCTTCTCTCTCTCTCTCTTTTCATTATGTGCTTCTGTGAACAGTACCCAACTACCCATATAAAATTTTATTGGCCTTCTTTTAAATCCAAGGAAAATTAGAAAAATAAAATAAAAAATACTCCGGCTCAAAAGAGCCTTCCAGTCCCAATGCAAATCAGACAAAGAAATCCCCCTTGACGAGAGTAATATCTTGCACTAAACTTACACAAGTTATACAAGATATACTAACAGACCTTGAACCTCCACAGAAAAGTAGGGGATGGTACAGCACTTTGCAGAGGTGGTATTATATTCTTCATTGTATGAGCACTATTGTATAGGTCTGCTTCTGCGGAAGAAAGTGAAAATAATTAGTCGAAAAGAGTGTGTGAGAATACAAGGAAAACACAACAACATTTTTGGTGGACAAAACAGGGAGGAGGGAGAAGCTAAATAGAAATAAGAATGAATTTAAGACCATTAAAGATGATTTGTGCTCTCAAGCATAAAGGACTTTTTTTTAGTTTTTTTAGTTTTTTTGATAAAAAAAAAGGGTATTAATTATTAAAGGGAAGCTGGTGCTATGAAGCTCTCACTATGTGGGGGGGAGAAAATAAAGCCTTAACGCAACTAGATCTTGTGATCACATAGCGACAACTCCAACCATTGTGCCAAGGCTCCCATAAATGACATTAATAAGCAAATAAAAGGGGAAAACAAGGCCTAGAACTTAGCATCTTCCTCACCACTAGTAGAGTTCACATTTTTATGCAATCCTGATTCATGTCTAGCCACAGTTCACCACATGCATTTAGCATCCAATGCTCCATTGACCTTGATGATGAAAAATCATTGCTAATCTGTAATTCTATATTGTTTTCAGAGAGTTCAGTCTAAATTGCTCTACATTTGCTTCAAAAGTTAAATAAATTTATTCCTTGTAGCTCATTATCATCTATGTCAATGTCGAAAATTCCACATGTGACCCACTCCACTGTAAACCCTGGCACACACATTAACCCAAGGCAGGCATGAAATCACCATTTATATCATATCATGATTCAATGTATTTAAGCTTCAACAACACTAAATTATGATCAGAAACATAGCAAAGGCCTTTTATAGGAGGTGTCTGTAACTTTTGAGTATACAGCATGTGAACTAGTGTCGCACCTGCTTAACACTAATGATTTGCTAGTTGTCATAAAATTATAACAACATTACTATTGTCCAACCAAAAACTCTTAATTATTAGAGTAACCAATTTTGGAGATTTAAACCAGGGTGTTCATTATCCTGGAACTCGATGAAAATGTGAGTACTGAGCAACTAAAAAGAAGGCCCCCACATTATACATGCAAAATCCAACACCCAACATGAAAAGCTCATATATTTGGCATGCACTATAATAGGAGCAAATGTATTTCCAATTGTTCAATAAATTTTAAGCTTCTTCACATCAGAATTAAGAAAAATCTAAATTAAAATAAAAAAAATTCAAAAATTTTGACATGCACGGTAAAAGGAAGAAATCCATTTCCAATTCTTCAACAAATGTTAAAGCTAACAACACACAAAATCAAACCCAAATAAACACAGCTTTAACAGGAACTCTCCAGCAATCATATCACAGAGTGCAGCAACAGAGTCAGTGCCAAAACCCCATGTAACAGAAGCCATCAAAATCAAAATTTGACAATCACCCATCACTCACAGAGCCTTATAACCTCGGAATTTCCGATCACCAAGTTCTGGGGTGAAGCCAAAAAACAAAAAAACAAAAAAGACCTTGGATTTGAATCAGATCAGTTACCAACTGTTGTGGTCAGCGTGTGAGTCAGATCTGACAGCAGATTATGGGAAACTTTTGAGGGCAAAGGACGCTACATAACAGGAGGGAATGACGATGATGACGTTGTTGTTGCGTCAATCGTTGCTTACTTACATTGTTGGCAATGTCTGTGATTTGGTGAAAACAAAACCGTGGCAGTGGCAATGTTGTTATTTTACCCGCCACTATGTCTCTGTGTTGCAAAAGATTCTACTGCACACCGCAGCGAGAGAGAGAGATGGAGAGAGAGAGAGAGATTCACATTTGATTTCACCTTGCAATGGTTACTACTGCTCATCACCCTTTTTTGGTTGAAAAAATGGAAATTGGACGTTTCAAAATTAAACAAAAATTAATTCGATAAATTAAAAAAAAAAAAATAACACTTTCGTAGATTTTCATTACACCTGAAAATTTAAAAAATAAGTAATTTTTACTGATACCAATTGTATTATTTTTTTTTTTCAAAACTAACGTGATAGGATGACATTGAAGGAAAGAGAAATAAATTAAATGGAAGGTCCAACTTTATGTCTAATAATATATATATATATATATGTTTCATTTTTTTTGTAGTTGTGGCATAAAGATTTATATGCTAGAGACATATTTATTAGAATTTGACGTCGGATCCTAATAAAAATATGTTCCATTTTTCTACAGACGTGACATAAAGATTTATATGCTAGAAACACATATTCATTAGAATTTGACTTAGATCCTGATAAAAATGTGACTAATTTTAACAAATGTAAAAATGTTATGGCAGAATATATATATATATATATATATATTCTAATTTTAAAATAATAGATAAATTTGTACCTAAATCAAAATATTAGAGTGTCAAACAACTCATTTTACCTGCAATAATTGTTAACTCTAATAAATAATGAATGAAAAATATGTATTTTATTAATTAAAATTAAAGAGAAGTTATACTACAACTACTTTTTCTTTACAATTACTTTTATTACCGTTTGATTAAAATCAAATGAAAGACTCTTATTTGACACCATTTTATAATTGCTGATTTGATTTTGATTGATCGGCAATAATAATAATAAGGAAAAATGGTTGTAAATGTAATATTTTTCAATAAATTATAATATTTAAACAAATTAATATCATTATATGATATGACAAATTATATGTCCATAGCATAATATTCATAATATAAAAGATCAATTATTTAAAAAATAATAATTTTTTCGTATTATGAAAATAATGCAACTTGAACATAATAATTGATGGGGGAAAAAAGGAAAAAAATATGTTGAATAGGATAAGAAAAAAATATATACTATTTTATCTTAGACTGCATTACAAGGCCCTTTATAATAGAAAATCTAGGACTGAAAGTTAAAGATTACAATTTGAAAATTTCATCAGGCAGTGCAACAAGAAGGAGATTCGAGATAAAGAAAGGAGGGGATTTGAGATAAAGAATATAACTTGCATGATTCTTTCTGACAAGAAAAAAAAGTATTTGTAGAAATTAAAAAGGACATTTTTTTTAGTAGGGGAAATATATTGTGACAACCAAGTTGTGTTATTACCAAGTGACTACCAATCAATCTTACCGTTAGATCGATTATATTTATTTCTATCTTTGTATGGTCATAATTTTTCAAATTTAATATTTTATATTTATTTTCACCTTTATATGATTATGATTTCCCATATTTAATGCTTTCACTTTAAATATGGGGAATCATGGCCATACAAAGATGGAAATAAATATAACCGTTGGATCAACATAATCAATCTAACGGTGAGATTGATTGGTAGTCACTTGATAGTAACACAACTTGATTGTCACAATATCCTTCCCCCTATTAAAAAGGACATTAATAGTTGGAGAATGATAATAGGGTTTTATTAATGTTATGTTACATGATTTAAGTGTTGTTTTCAACACACACACAAAAATGGAGAGAGAAAGTGAAATGATGAAAGAGAAAAAAAAACATGTGGACCCCATTTCTTTAATGTGTGTATAGAAAAGTGATGTTATATCATGTTACATCATAAACATAAAATCCATGATAATAACCCAAAAACATGAAAATGAAATTGAAACAAAAAAAGCACACAAAAACATACCTTGGGTTTGAGAAGACTGGAAGAGAATAACACCAACCGAGAAATCTGATGGCTAAGGTGAGATTATAAACCTAACGATGTGACTTTTGAGGGTGAGGCTCCCACTAAAAAGTCACATTAATAAAAAAAATTGATTACATTAATTATTATATACTTAATGCCGATTTTTTTAAAATAACATCTTAATCTATCACTTTTACATTAATTACACATGGAATTAAAAATATACATAGCTAAAATGGTATCAGTTTCATATTTCAAAAACCAATTTAAGGTCATACATCTGTTCAAAAAATAAAAATTCTTGTCGGAGATAAATTTGATGATATAATACAATTGAAGGATATATATATATATATATGGTGCGGGATACTTTAAAATAAATAAAACTTTTTGAAATAAAAAGAATTAATAAAGTCTACGAAAATAATAATTAATTAATTCATGAATTAATTAATTATTATTTTTGTAGACTTTATTAATTCTTTTTATTTCAAAAAGTTTTGTTAAACTAATCCTTGGTTGTAGTTTTTATTTGTATACAAACATTAGCTTTACTTTTTTTACTGTAAATTTAGATAATTTATCTACATTGAGCTCAAAACGATGTTATTTTGACACAAAAATTAAGATATTTTTATAATTATAATTTATTTTAAGATTATAATAATCTTTTTCATTATAATTTTTTAATTTTTCAATTCAAAATAACATTATTTTAGAAGTTAATATAAATAACTTCTCTACCTTCGTTCTATAAACATTAAACCATAAACATTTAACTAAATTGAGCATTTAATATTATTGTAATTTATAATTAATTAAACCCTCTAAAGTCTAAACCTTCACCCTTCATATCGATGTAGGCGCAAACCACTAATTGAGTAGCTAGCTATGGCGAACCATGAAGAAGCAAAGCTCGAAACTTTCGTGCAGTGGCTACAGGTTCGTTAACATGCTTTGTAATTTGTGACTAAAGGGTAAAACATATTATGCTCTGATATCATAATATGCTGAATATTCAGGGGTTATTATTCTTTCTTTTGCTTTGCTTTGAATTTTGATTTGGTCTTGGAATTCAGGCAAATGGGGTGGATCTTCGAGGTTGCAATATCAAGTACAGTGATTCCAGAAAAGGGTTTGGCATCTTTTCTGATAAAGATATTTCTGATGGTAATTTCAATATGAATAGAGTTGATAGAAGGAATTTGAGTTTTTGCTTGTTAGCATATAACATTGTTATTGTTTTGAAAGTAAGTGAAATGCTGTTAATGCCCTTTTGTTGCAATTTTGGAATATTGAAAATACTCATCTCGAAGCAAAATAATAAGATAAAAATGGACGCTATTCAGAAACATAAATTTTTTTAGATGCTATTAGTGTGCATTTGGTTTGTTTTTTGTTTTCATTTTTTGTTGATATGTTTTCACTTATTATTATAAAAATGTCACCTTGCTTTCACTTTGTTTCCTTTTTTCAAGAATTTGTAAAGGAAATGGTGAAAACAAGATTTTGTTATTTTCGTATCTGAAATAATTTTTGCCCTGAATGTTTATAGCTCTGTGCATTAGCTTTAGCTTTTGAAAGCAGAGAAAGTAATTTTGTTTTCTTTGAAAAACAGGGGTTCTGTTGGTTGTTCCACTAGATTTAGCAATAACTCCAATGAGGGTGTTGCAAGATCCTCTTCTAGGACCAGAATGTAGAGCATTGTTTGAAGAAGGAGATGTAGATGACAGGTTCTTAATGATGTTGTTACTGACTGTGGAGCGTTTGCGTAAGAATTCTCTATGGAAGCCGTACGTATGGTTGATTGTGTTTTAATTTATGATTCAGATTGTGTTGAGTTTCACTTATGTAGTAGTTAAAATGAAATCAGGTACCTTGATATGCTTCCAACCACTTTTGGAAATCCACTTTGGTTTAGTGATGATGAACTTATAGAGCTAAGAGGAACGACATTATATCGTGCAACTGAATTGCAGGTAATTTGGCATGGGACTCATCTTTAGATAGTTAACCAATTTGATTTAAACTGTGTTTTTCTTGCCATTTTAAAGACATAGCATGATTTAAAAAAAAAAAAATTTTGCTTATCCCTGTTTTGGCTTATGTGCATTATTTGTTTCCCAAAATTTAATAAGTAGTCCATGTGATTGCTCTGCTCTGAAGCTCTCATTTATGTTCTTCGGGTAATAATAGTCTATATGAAATAGTTGTGTGCATTATTTTTTGGTAGTCACTTGAATGGCAGAGCAGGAGGAGCTTGCTCTTGAGACAATATGAAAATCACCTAAAAGCCAAACCTAGTTTTTCTTATATGATCTCCATGATGTAATGGAAATCTAGATTTCATCTGGGTTGATTTGATCTTCGAGTTGAATTCAGTTCGTCTGATTAGGTTTGAGATAAAACTAGATGTTAATTCTGGTATTAACTTCTGTCTATGTTATTTAACAGCATATTTGATAACTGTCTTATCTTGCAGAAGAAAAGCCTGCTGTCTTTGTATGAAACTAAAGCGAAGCATTTAGTGAAGAAACTTTTGACTCAGGATGGAGATTCAGAGATGTACGTGTTGGGTAAAATTGTATTTTTATTGATTTGTTTAGGGTTTCATGTGATTTATTCATAATTGACCCAATTTGACACCTGTTGAAATTTTGTTGTCTTATAGTTCGACTTAATCAATGTAGGATATATGTCAATGATGTTAATTTGGCTTTGGGATTGAGGACTAAATTTTTTAAAGTATAACTTAGTAGTTACTAGTTCCTTGCCTCACCTTATATGAAAACCACTATGGCATTAAGAATTAAATGTGGATGTGCTATACTATGTTAAATGTGCATCTGCTTTTTCTAATAAGTCCTATCCAAGATATTTTATTCGGACGTAACTATGTAAGTCATCTGGTCATTGATGTGCTATGATAATTGATAAGTCTTGATAAAGAATGCTAGGACACAGTCCTTTTCCGGTTGTCAGAAAAATGCATTGGTTATAGGATCACGTTCATGATATTTTCTTCTCTTTTGGTCATAATCTGCCATTGCAAGTTCAAGATTATAGTATTTGATTGATTTAAACGTCTTCTATACAATGTTATTTACACCTTTACATTGCTTGTTCTCTACCCCTTATCTATTAGCAGAATAGCAGTACATATTAGTATATTACTTAAATACTCATTCTAAAGATGCTCTCAGTTTGTGCCTTCTCAACTATCTTCCGAATGATTAATTGAAATGTACTTTCTGGATTTTTTTTTTTTTCAAACAGCTATTTTATGGCTAAATTTTAAACATACATTTACGTTACTTATCTTCTGCCTGACCTGTTTTTCCAGTGAGGTGTGCTTTGAAGATTTCCTTTGGTATGTACTTCTAGTGAACTTTTATATGACCAAATAAATCCTTGGAGGTTGATAGCAAACCTGCCTTCATGCTAGGGCGAATTCAGTATTTTGGAGCCGTGCTTTGAACATTCCATTGCCTCGTTCTTATGTATTTCCAAAAATGCAAGAAGGTGATGACAGTTGCATTCTAGAAGCTAATGAAAAAAGTGAGTCTATCTTCTTTTTTTTAACTAGTTTCCTATAAGAATTCTCTCTTTTGTTGTGTGTCCAATCGAGAGGTAATCATTTAATAATTCTCTTAACTTGAGAGTTAAATTTGATATTAAAATAGGCAAGTTTTATTGCAGGTAGTGAGGTTAAAAAATCTGACAATCTAACCAAGGAAATGACATGTAACACAGTGCAAGGAGACACTGTTTGGGTAGAGGGTCTTGTCCCTGGCATTGACTTTTGCAACCATGGTAAATTGTTGCTTGAAGCCCTGACATTTCACTTCACTATATGTTTTTGAAGTACTTTCCTTTTCGTTTCTTCATTGATTGGGTTCTGATTGTTTCCCCTTTAGATATTGTTTTATATGAAACCCATTGTTAGACCTTCACCTAACAGCTTATAAATTTGGTCAATTAATTTCTTGACTTGGTATCAAAGCCTCTATTGTCAAACAGCCTAGATTTAATACTTGTTGCCCCCATTCTGATGAATTAAATTTAGGTACAGAGTAATAAAGGCCATGTGCATGCTTTCTCAATGCTTCAAACGCAAAGGACTGATGTACGGGAGGGCATAATAGATATCTATACATTTCTGCAAATTTCTATGATAGGATATATGCTGCCTTTAATGTATGCTAACTAGAATACTAAGCCCTTGCTGTTTATCTTGACTTTCCTGGATGTTGAAAGGTTATTGTCCTTTGCATATAAACAGTTATCCAAATGGTTTTTAAATAATTGGTGTTCTTTTGCTTTTCATAACGAAAGTGGCATCATATATAAAGCGAGTCATAGACCAGATGGACAGGACAGTTCGCAATTAGGAAGACTGCAAATATCTATCTTTGCTTTGATAAATGAAAATATAGATGAACTATTTATATGCATATGCATGCACACCTGACTTTGTGCCAGGGTGAGTTATCTTCATACCATATATGCTAGATATATCAAATGCCTTTTGTGATTTACCTTGTTTACATGGCCAATCAGATTTGAAGCCAATAGCAACATGGGAAGTTGACGGAACTGGTTTAACAACAGGAGTTCCTTTCTCCATGTATCTTCTTTCTGGTAACAATCTTTTTTTGCCTTTTCAGTGTGCTTGTTAACATCCAAATAGGAGTTTTCCTCGTATGTGTCTCTTCAGTTCTAGTAGTTACCGTCAAATTTCTAACTTAATTTCCTTTTATTTTTTCTCTTTCCATTTAAGTAGTTTCATAAAATAATATGTCATGAAACTATTCCCCTTTAATTCAATTATTTTCTTGATTGCAAAGCTGCTCAAAGTCCCTTGCAGATTGATCGAGAAATTTCCATCAGTTATGGCAACAAGGGAAATGAGGTACCTTATATTGTCCCATTGTTGAAAATAAATGTCTATATTATATTTATATTCTAGACTTTACTTTCTGTTCTCTTTTTACCATTCTTTTTATTAAGCATCAATCTTTCATGCTGCAAGCTGAGAGGCATGCTAGGAAAAAATAAGGTCTATCATGTTAGTTTTTCATGTGTTCAATACTGGTGCAATACCTTGTTGGTAGGTTATTCAATTTGACTGAAAAAGGTTTAATTAAACCGGATACATAGTTTACTGGTAAATAAACTTCCATCGAGGCATTGCACCATAAACTTTGCCTTTTAACTTATTTGAGTTCACTGGTAGGCTGGTAGCATGATGAATACATTTAAATATATACTTGCATATATATTGTACTAAATGATGACCTAATGTAAGTACTAAATGGAGCTTCTGTTCAGTTAAAGGTTGATCTATAAGCTACTTTAAAGCTTTTTTCAATAGTTTCCATATTTTTCCACTTGATGCAGGAACTTCTATATCTATACGGTTTTGTCATTGATGATAACACAGATGACTATCTCATGGTAATGGCTTACACTTGTACCTTGTGCACCCAGAGTAAACTTTCTCTTTAACATATTATTCCCCCTCCCTTAATTGTGTTTATAGAAGCTTTGTTGTGTTCATCTTTATAATTATGGTGACCACTCCTAATAGAGCAAGAGAGTAGTAGTTAGTTAGAATTTTATGTTTGGGTGGTTAAAGTTGTTAGAGCTAGAGAATTAGTTTAAATAGTAAGAGAGGGTAAAAGAGGGAGATTAAGACTTGTTCAGTTGTAAGGGAAAATCCTTGGAGGAGATTTCTCTCCTTCGTACTCTCAGTGCTTTTGTGGGAAGTGTAACTAAAATTACTTAGTATTATCTACCTGTTGTTTATCATATGCCTTGGCATAGTATCACAATTAGTTTTGCAACTATAATAACATTTCATACTTTGACCTGTCTACTTAATTTTGTCTATGGCTGCTAACTACCATTTTGCTTCAGTTATATTTTCTATCTTTGGCTGTGTGATTCAAGTGATCATGGTCCTTACAGAGATAGACATGGCTTACTAACTTATCAGTGTTGTTGGGTCCTTCAGGTACACTATCCAGCAGAAGCAATTAATACTATTTCTTTTTCAGAGTCCAAAAGCCAGCTTCTTGAAGTGCAGGTTTGCTAATAATTTATCTTTAACTTTATGCCATTTTTTCAAAACCAAGAATATAATTTATTTTATTTAGCCAATTTTGTACTACCTATTCTTCTAAAAATTTCCCCTTCTGTAACTACAATTTTTTTATTTGGTTTATGTTGACAGAAAGCTGAAATGAGATGTCTTTTACCCAAAACTTTGCTGGATCATGGATTTTTTCCTTTAGGGACCCAAAACAGTGGAGAAAATAACAAAGGCAAGGTGGATCAAGTTTGCAACTATAGTTGGAGTGGTCAGCGCAAGATGCCATCTTATGTGAACAAGCTGGTTTTTCCTGAGAAATTTATGACTACCTTGAGGACCATAGCCATGCAAGAAGATGAGCTTTTCAAGGTTTCCTCAATGCTGGAAGAGGTGCAGTTTCAATGCAGCATTTTTTTTTCTTCATATTTTCCATGGAATGTCAGACTATTTGCTCCTTCCATGGTTACTGAAACTGAATTGTTTGTTTTCAATTTCATCTGAATTCAACATTAATACAATTTTTATGCTTTCTACAAAGCTTGTTGGACCTGAAGGGCAGAGACAACTATCAGATACAGATGTCCAATCAGCAATATGGGAGGTTTGCGGTGATTCCGGAGCTTTACAATTGCTTGTTGATCTTCTCAATGTGAAGTGAGCGACTGGAATTACATAACAATCATAACTGCTGATAGGATTATGTTAATTGTAACATTTAGTGCCTTACTCCTAATCTGCATCTTCTGTTTACAACTTGATTTCTGCAAATGACGTTGAATTTTCTTCTTTTTAATGTTCAATGTGTCATTTCATTTATTGAGCAAATTAGGACATACTAGAACACCAACATTGCTATATTTTATGTGCAATGCCTAATTAATTTCACTGAATTCAAGGTTGATGGATCTTGAAGAGAGTTCCGGAACAGAGGAAAGTGACCTTGATTTGCTCAAGAAGGCCCTTATTATTGATAGCCAGGAAGATAGCAAACAGTGCATGAGCAATTTAAGGTAGAAACTAATGTACTTGATTATAGTATTCTTGCATTGAGGATTACTCCTGTACCCATCTTTTTTTCAAGGGTACACCAATACCTGAGTTGAGTTATCAATCACTCATTTCTTATTAATCATATTTAACGAACTTCCAAAGATTTGTAATGAAACTAGCAACCAACAAATATTTGACAAGTCTCCAGTACCTAAACTATTTAATAAGAAAAAGGTTACATGAAAGTTCTACTCTTATAAAGAGATTAAATATGCTCTTATGAGATTCTTTGGATGGTATGTCATGGCTCAAATGTATGTTTCATTTCTTAGGAGTTCTCTTATCAAATTGCTGAAGATAAACTTTTCTTCTATGAAGTACCAACACTTCAAAAACCCTGACGTGTCGTGTCCGACACTTCTCGACACTCCGACACGCGTTATAAAAATTCAAAAAAAGGTTCAAAGGTTGCGTTGCGTTGAGTTTTTAGTTCCAACTATTAGATTCGTTGGATTACGATTACCATTTTATTGAGTTTAATATAAATATTTGGGATATCTTATGTTTCTTTGTAAAATTGATGAATATTATAAGTTTAGTTTCATTTTTTTGTTAAATTATTAAATATTAAATATAATATACACTACATAAATTAAAAATATTATTTAATATCAAAACGTGTCTCAACGTGTCGAAATTTAACATTTTTTAAAATTAACGTGTCGGAGTGTCGTGTCGGAGTGTCACGTGTCCCGTGCCGGTATCGGTGCTACATAGCTTTTCTTGGCTTCAAAGTTCCATGTACGACTTGATTTACGATTTATGCTGGCTTTACTAAATCTTCTTTCATGAATCAAATCACTACTACAATGCATGCTTGTATTATTCCATCGAAATTACATGTTTAGCATTTTTGGTTGCATACAATTCTGGGTTGTTGAGTATGAAGTGACTGTTTATCTTGAACCCCAACCTCCTTTATATTTACTCTTACAGCATTATAATTAGAAATCTGATATCAACCCTATGCATTGCACTTTTTGCATCATAATTATTATGCTAAAGTAAAGTGATTCATAATTTTCAGTCTCTGACATTGCACCACCTTTCTATTTAAGTGTAGAAGTGTTGTTTGAAACTAAGAGCTCAACATTTGCAGGATGTCTATAATTATGTTTTTCAGCCTAAAAGCTTGGGTTCCTCACTTAATCTATAATTTTTTCCTTCACTATATTATTGTCTTTCTAATATTTTTTTCTCCCAAAACTATACAGCACAGTGACAAATGACTCAGAGGAGTCAAAGTTGATGACTAGAAACAAGTGGTCTGCTATAGTATATCGGCGAGGCCAAAAGCAGCTAACTCGATTATTCTTGAAAGAAGCAGAACATGCTCTGCAGTTATCACTGAACGAAGAAGAGGTGACTGTTCCTTGATAGGCATGTTACACTGTATATTATAGTCCTGTTCCTGTTCCCTGATCTTTATCCAATAATTTTTTTGTAGAGGTTTGGGTCATAATTACTATAGATCTTTAAGTCAAATCTCTCTCATTTGTGCACTTGCAACTAGAGTTAAGAGTTTACCCATTATCATTTCTGTTCTAGACCTTAATCATTTTTGTCAGTTTTACATGATTATTGGAAGTTTATGTGGAAAGCCCAGGCTGAAAACGTTCTGGCAATGAGGGATAGAAGTAGAATCATATATGAACATCACATACAGAAATTCAACTAAAATTGCTTCAAACCATCATCTAAAAAACTGATAGGCAAGTATAAATAAGATTTTCAGAAAAATTAGCAAAGCTATGATAACCTGTCCAAAAGATAAATTTTATTAAATATATATACCAAAGTTTGGACTTTGTGCTAGGTGAGAAGGTCGGTTTGACAGACATCTTTCATTGCAAAAAAGAGTTCTCAGAAAGGCTTTCCTGCTATTAATTCGGCTCTAGTTTATCAACCTTCTTCTAGCTATGCTATATGCTTAAGCGACCATCCTACTAAATAAGCAGCAGCTGCAGCTATGGCACCACTGAAAACAGTGATAGCCACGGAGAACATCATGTTTTGACCAGATATCCTTGCTTTTGCCACCCCAAGAAGAGCAAGGCCAAGTGTAGAAACAAGGCAAGCACTCACAAACTTAACAGAGTCACTGTCTGTAAATGGTATGAGGATGATGAAAGAGAGCAATGGAATTGAGCCAAAGACCATGAAGGATGCAAAGGTAACAAGACCATTCTTCCAGGGCTTCACTTCTTGGTCTGCTGGCAGCATTCCTTTGTCAGCTACCATTCTCTGGTCCACCAGGACGTCTTTGTATTTTGTAAATATGTTCACAACCTTGCACAAAGTAACAAAATTCATGAAGTTTAGAACTTAGAAGCAATTTGGCTTTCCCTATCCATAAAAGCCAAATAAGTAAAGATTTGAAACAAAATATTGACTTTAGTGAAGTTTTGTTACAAATTTTTCCCAATAATATCCAAATGGTATGTTTTTCTCATACATACCATGGATGCATCGTTGTAGTCCATCCCAAGAGCTTGATAATATCTGACTAACTCTGTTTGCTCATTGCCCCTATGATTCATGACATCCCATTCTGTCACTCTCCTTTCCTCAATGATCACATCCTGCTCTGAGCTAACAGACACAAAGTCTCCAAACCCCATTGATATTGCATCTGCCACTAGGTTTGCAAACCCAAGAACTAGCACATCTGCTACATTCAGAGTGTAGCACATGAGTTAAAATAGCATTTCCACTTCCATATATAAGTAATCTATCTTGGCATCAATGGCATGATAATTTTATACATATATTAATCCAAAAACATAGGAGTAGAGCCATGGCCTTAACCCAAAACTGCTTCTTCCCAGCAAAGTTAGTGTGTTCCAAGACCAACAAAAGTTTGGTGGGACTGAGGTAAGAGAAAAAGAAAAAAGGTTGAGGAGAGAGGAGAGAGGAGAGAGAAGGAAGAAAAACAAAATTGATTCAGGTGTCAAGTTTTTAGTGGAAAGACCATAGTGGTCTTGGACCATATTAAAAATTTCCCTTTCTTCCATACCACTGGAGCTATACTCAAGTGACTAGGTACGCACTAAAACTCAAGCTAAGTTACCTTTGCTAGGCTAGTTCTTTCATACCCTCCACTCATTTTCCTTGAGTGTTTAATTAGCATAGTGCCTAGTACAAAAAGGCCATAACTATTTACCACAATAATGGTCTCAATTCTCAAACCATAGGTAGGCAGGGGTCTAGAGCTAACTAGGTTATCATTATTCATAATTCTTAGCTCAAACAAAACCCTTATTCTGTTATGAAGACAAGTTAGACTTACTAGCTGCTTTAAAGTCCTTTAAAAAAAAACTCATTTTGAACTAAAAATCATGAGTAGATTCCTATATATATAAGAGATAGTTGAATCATTTTCCTTTTTTATTGTGCTATGAGATGAATGGTAAAAGAACTAAAGATGCACCACCACTCCAATCTGCATCAAAATATTGTCCGCTGCCCAGGCACAAACTACAAATTGAAGTTGTTCGTTTGTGAAAAGGACATATCATATATTATCATAGCAATGAAAAATGAATTATTTAAACGACAAAAAGGTCTTTTATGCTCAATTATTTAACAAGGGACCACAACTGTAATCTCATCCTCTCTTTTTTTCTTTTTTCTTTTATAAAAAAGAAGTTAGATCATAAATATAATGGTTTTTCGCCAATGTACAGATATATACAAATTCATTTTATATATATAAATATGGGTATGTTACATTTATAACTTTTTTGTTTACAATTCTTAGTTGTAAAAGTTGTAAACAAAAAAAAAATGCAGACAAAGCCCTTCATATATATATATATATATATATATATATATATATATATATATATATATATATATATATATATATATATATATACTTGCTTATTTATTTTCTCTATTATGGCAGATGTGTATTTTGATTCTCCAAATAATTTTTTAATAATCAAATATCTTACTTTTTATAATTAAAAAGAGGGAAAGGATATTGTGACAACCAAGTGACTACCAATCAATCTCACCGTTAGATCGATTATGTTGATCCAACGGTTATATTTATTTCCATCTTTGTATGGTCATGATTCCCCATATTTAAAGTGAAAGTATTAAATATGGGAAATCATAACCATACAAAGGTAAAAATAAATATAAAGTATTAAATTTGGAGAATCATGACTATACAAAGATGGAAATAAATATAACCGTTGGATCAACATAATCGATCTAACAGTGAGATTGATTGGTAGTCACTTGGTAGTAACACAACTTGGTTGTCACAATATCCTTCCCCTTAAAAAAATAAGCTCCAAAATGCTCAGTCACTAATACATGTTAATGATAATGATCAATTACTAATACAAGTGAATGATATGGCTAACTATTTGCATGCGTGTTGCTCACTAACTCATGTTAGTAATTTATTAATGACCTACTAAAAGTGGAACTTATTTTTTTTTAACTAGAAAAAATGAAAGATTTAATTACTGCACAAAAGACTAAAATCTTGTACTGGTCAGCATAGAAGAGTTAAAAGTGCAATTAAGCAAAAAATAAAATAATTAATATCAATAATCAAATAATAATTTTTTATACAATAAATCAAATAGTTATTCATATTCTTTCTTGAAAAAACCGAATAACTGTGCAAGAAAGAGGCTCACTATATGTTGAAATCTCAAAATAATAATGTCTGTTTATTTAATTATTAATTTACCGTTGAAATTTGAGTTCCAAGGTTTACAAATGCCTATCTATTAAGTTTACGAAGAAAGCAATCAAAGTTCCAACTAGACATATATCCTAAGAAAAGAAAAAGAAATTCATCTAAACTCATCTAAGAAATTGAAATTTAGGGGAAAAGAAAAATGAAACTTAAGACCTTAGGCCGTTTGGATTATTATTATTATTATTATTATTATTATTATTATTATTATTATTTATGAGACTGATCCCTTCTATCCAGATGAAGGTTTTTAACCATTTGGAATTTAACTTAGGTGTGGATAAGACTTTTAATGTACTAAAAATTGAATTTGAATTGTAAATATAAAATGGGTTTTACACTTGCATGACATTTGTTGTGTCATTTTTATGTCATGTTACTCTCACATGAGAAACGGAACCCACCTTGTTTTCTTTTTCTTTTTGAGTAGGATCCACATCAAATGTATTAGAGTAACATCACACTAAAAGTGTGATGCAACATAAGATATATAAAACTCTTAAAATTTTCCATACAGAATTCACCACTGCCTACATATATATATATATGGGATCTGCTCTCACCATCGAAAATTCCTATTTATTTTTTTTATTTTTATTTTGTGGGTCCCACTTGTTTTTTTTGTATCGCTGAGGTGAGACCATAAGAGAAGAAATATAAAACTTATTTCTCAATAGATAAAATTATTTCCTAAAAACATATAAAAATATGAGAGCCATCTCTCTCTTCTTTTAAGAGGGGCTCACATAAGTCTTATATATTTTTAGGTGGATATAATAAAAACATTAAATCTATTTAGACAAAAAAAAAGTGGACCCAATTGAAAAAAAATAAAGATATAAATTTCACATATTTGTGTATCTATTAATTAATGACACAATGATAAAATAACACGTAATTTTCCCATTTTTATATATGTATATTAATGCTTTTCTTTCTTATTCCAACTTCAATTTTAAAGGATGTTAATGTTAAAAGGGAATGACACATGTACCAGAGGAACTACTGCTAGCAGAGATAGAGGAAATGAGAGAAAAGCATGTGATAATGGCATCATGCCCTGCAAACACTATGCTCTTTACGTATTCTCCTTTCCAAGGCTCTTTTGGTCTCTCACTCTTCCTTTCTAAATCATCACCACCGTCCTCCACCACTTCCTGGAGGAGCCTTGCGGTGGCGCCACCGCTGCTGCCACCTCTCTCACTCATTACCAGTTAAGTTCTTTTTTGGAACTTTGTGGTAAATTGTTGCACGAATGATTTTCCTGTGTTTTTTTTTGTCACTTTTCAGGTTTTTTACAGTGTTGTACAGAAACTTCTTTAAGGTTAATTGGTGTCGCTTTGCATGCCATTGCACAAACACGTGTCCAATGAGTGCAATTTTCTTCACTGTTTTGGGGAACTTTGTTGACACGTTTCCTACCACATGGCCCACCCTTTGGCCTTCGAAAGAGTATACAATACTTTCTTAGCTGTAAACTACTATAGCATGTTAATCTCACAATTACATATTGACGTTAAAGAATATCACTAAGTTTTTGTTTTAAGTTCATATGTACAATACTAGTTGTTATAGGAAAAAATTATTTTTTTTTATATGAAATTAGTTTTCTTTCTTACACATCTTTTGATAATTATGTAAAAAAAAAAAAAAAAATTATTTTTTCAGGTAATGGGCCCATATATTTATGTCTATGACATAAGATAACTTATTTCCTTTAACATGAGATTAATAGTTCATATATACATGTGTCTGAAACTGTAACTGACTTGACTGATCTGATTTCAAGTTTGAGTTTCTCTATTCTTTTCAAGAATTTTCGTTTGTCCTTTAACATGATATGGTAAAATTTTCTATACACATAATATTTTGTGAGGCCCGTATTTTTTGAAGCAAAAAAAAAAAAACTAAGACATGAAAAACGAATCTCAGTAACATGACACAATCACTTTTCCTACAACATAATTCTTATAAAACCCTTTTAATATATGTATATCAATGGGTGTCAGAAGTTCTAATGGACCCGACTAATCCAGTTTCAAATTTTTGTATCTCTACAATTTATCCTCCTCGAAAATTGTAACTCTGAGGATTTGAATTCAGTGATCTTTGAGCATGTCAAATCCTAGAATCTAGCTGAATTGCTGTTAAATCAACTCTTGACCGAAATGATGACTCTAAAATATCTATTTTATTAATCTTTGAGTACGTTAATTCCTCAAATCTAACTAAAACACCACTAAACCAACAAATATTGGATTGATAACTTTATATAATTTAACTACGATAAAACTACGTACCTTATAGAATATTAGAATATTTGTACATATACGTTAATAAAAACGTATATTATAATTTGACTACGATAATACTATGGGACTATTCTTAGTTACAAGAGCTATTTTACTTATACAAATATTATAATCTTTAGGCATATAATAAAACATGTCACTTACACTGAGAAAAAAGAGAGATATTTTTTAGTTAATTATGATATTGCATAAGTGAAAAGATTATATATATCTTTAAGTTTAGCCGTACAGATCGTTAAAGCGTAGAATTAATTATGTGATTTACAAATATTACAGACATTATTTAATTTTTTTTTCATGAAAACTTATTTTGTTTTATTTTTATTTATCTTATCATTAAATTTAGTTCAACAGCATGAGTGATCTCGGGAAAAAACCATAAATCTAAGGTATTCAATTAAAAAATTAATATAAAAATGCTAATTGGACAGGGAATTATTTTCTCTTTCCTTTGTAGCATGATACGAAAATGACAGGGAAATTATGAATTTTAAAATAATGACTTGAAAAATAAAAATTGCATTTGAGAACCCATTTGAGCTTTAGACCAAGGATCTCCTTTCATCATCTTCTCTTGGGGTCCCCAACTCTTCATCATCACCACTAGATTTTGCACTATTGGCAGTGGCAGAAGATGTTAATGCCCTAGTGGTGGTGGTGGCTTTGTTTTCAGGCAACATCTTCAATGTGATTCCCATGGCTATGAGTAGAAGTCCACTCCCATGTTGTTCTGTTAATGGTTTTGTAAATATCAAGTATGATAATAACAATGTCACTGCCTTTCTTGCCGTTGTTATCTGTGATCAAATTCAATGAAGGAAAGTTAGTTAGGACCATGTAACCTTATTAATGTTTGACATATCATCCCATGTATGCGCAGGTGATTTTTATATTCATGTCACAAATGAATAGGGTAGGTAAAAATATGGTATGATATGAGTTTTAAGTTTCAGATCATATCCTCATATTGTGCCAAATCAACTTTTTTTTTTTTTATACTATCTATCGGTTTATCGATTACTCGACTAGTTCAATTTGAGTTGGGTCGACTAGTTCAATTTGAGTTGGGTCGACTAGTCCAATTTGAGTCGGGTGGGACTACATGGACAGTAAAGCTCTTCCTACCAAATCTTAACACAGATGCATTTACAGGAATTCAAACTAAAGACCACCGGTTAAGCTGGAATAACTCTTTACCAGTTGATGCACGTGCCTAGCGAGTAGTGATGAGCCAAACACCTTACCAGTTGGTCATTTATTAGCATTTAAGACCCTATGGTGCTTGTGACTCATTAATGTTAGGAGCTGTGTAAAGGTCCAAACTGACATAATAAAAGCATGAAAAGGATCGTGAGAGCAATTTACCATGGCAGTGGTGGCAGCACCAAAAATGGCAATGAGGGAGAGGACAGAGACTTGGCCAATAAATGTAGCCATTGCTTCAAAGACTAACACACCATACACATAGGGATGCTGCAAGCACAAGAAAAGGTTATTCTGTTAAGAAGAAAGTAGGACACGATAGTGTGCAAAAAAGCTGTTTATTCCAATATTTACTTGTGAACATGAAGTCCATGCTTTGAATAATTCTCCTGTAAAAAGCATAGGTGGGATTAAGAAAGGTAAGCCCACTACAGTAGAGCAAAAGAGCATCTCCATCTGTGTTAACAATGAAAAAAGTATAAGAATTTTCAATGATACTAAAAAATAACAGTTTCAATCACAAATTTGACATAAAATGCATATACTTGAAAAGGTAGAAAGATGATAAGGAAGAGATGGAAAATCACCTGTGTGGTCTCAGGGTTCATGGTAAAGATTGCTTCTTGCAGATTTCCCAGAAAAGAATCCATGACCAAAGCCCCAGTTATCATAATAACACCAATGACACTGAAATTTGGTGATGTATGTGCATCTGCTAGTGTGAATAGGATCAAGCCAACTACCAGTAGTATTGCAGATATATATTCATGCATTGGATACTTCCTTCTCAGACCCGGTATAAAGGCACCCATAATCATCACTGGCAGAACCTATTACACCAAAATTGGATCTATTATATTTGAATGTTCAATGTTGAATATTAAATTTTCAGTTATCTATAACATGGTGACACAGTTTGAGAGGCCAAAAAAAGGTTAGAATCTCTAGAACAAGTAAGCTAATTTGGAGACACTAAACTGTAAGTGTAATAAATTCAACAATGATGTAAGCACATAAACGGGACAATCTGATTCCCAGTAACAAACTGAGGAATAAGATAACATGCATTCAAGGTGTTTCAACTATAACTGATCCATACCAGTTTCCTTCAAAAATGGTTAAAGTAAAGATGGCTTCCTTATATTGTGCTTTTGTCACTTACCTTTGTGGATTTGAACATGATCTGTGCCGGGTAGTTAAGAAAAGCCAAAGATCCCTTTGTTAGGCCATGTGAACCCATAAGTACAACAGAAAGCTTCACATAAGTTTTCCATGGATTCACCATTTGCTTGCTTGTGAAACCTTGGAGGTAAATCAGAAACAGGTAAACAAACCCTTGAATAAATGTGAAGTACCAACCATAGCTGAAAACCAAATCAACCATTTTACTGTAAGTCCCCATTCAAAGCTATAAATCAGTAACAAATGAAACAGAACCACTGTGATGAAATTTACCTAAAGTGAAGCCTGTTGTACACATATTCCTGAAAATCAGACAAATGAGAAAAATAATTAGTACCAAATACTAAATTATTAGCAGGATAACCTCAGACAAAAAATTTTTTTTGCAATAATTCAGATGCAGGATACAAAAAAAATTGAAACCAAAGTTCCCAACGAGATATCCAGAAGGAATAACAAAAGGCAGAAAATTCTTGTGCTTCTGAGAAACTATTTTCCTGGAAAATTAATCTTTAGCAACTGATTATGAAAGTAAAGAAAAACAAAAGGAACTGCTGAAGAAACTTAACAAATCAAACAAAACAAAACCCAATTTCAGCAACCCAGTTGCAGAAATTCCAAACCACAAAGATTTCACTAACCAAACCAAAAAGAATTCAAGAAAACCAACAGAGAACAGAGCATATATTGATACATCATCTAATCTACCTCACAGATTCCATTAACAAGATATCCAAAGAAGAATCCAGATGAGCAAATGAGGAATTGTTGATATCTGGGTCTGCCAGAGAGTGAAATCCCAAACAAACTACGAGCTTGCTCTTCGTTCTTCATCTGTTACATCACACCCCTTTCTCTTACTTCTATTCACTCTGACAAACTAGTCCACCAACCCAAATTCCAATTCAACAAAAAGATTATATTTTTGAAACTCAAATTTGCTCAAACCATAAGAATCATCATATCAGCCTAAGAACCTTGCATGTTGACTTCTGCCAACCCCAGAAACAGAGAGAGAGATAGAGAGAAAAAGAGATTTTTTGGTTGCACAAAATGAAAACTTGTTTTGATAGTCTAAGCAAGCATATGTATATATATGGGGGGCATCACTTCATGCATGAAAAGCTTAGAGAGAGAAAGAAAGAGGGGAGAGAGAGAGAATGCGTGTGTGTGTGTGTGTGTTATTACAATCTCAGCTATCCTATGTAATGATGATCATGATTCTAAGCAAAGGTGGAGTTGGCTCTATCTATGGAAAAGTATTTAATTGTAACACGAGAGAGGACCAGACAGCTAGTGAGGGCAGTTATGTCATGTGTGTAACATTGCATATACTTCTTCATTTTCCATATTTTAATATAGGGATTAGGGTCTATATTGGAATGATTTAGGTGGGGTCCTTTTTATGTATTATCTTAATGTGAGAAATGCTACATTTTGTACAAGTGTAACTCTCAGTCTTTGCTGATTTTGATGTTCAATTTGAAGATATCAATTATTAAGAGGACAATACTTAGTATCGCAACAGTAAAATATCACACTTTTCCGTTTTTTTTATTTAAATGTCACGTCAATAATGTTATTTCTCAGCGTGTCATATCAGCTGATCAAGTTTATTATAGTGTTCATCGAATTTGTCCACATGATATATTAAAAAATAATATTATTGACATGATATTTAGATAAAAAAGATAAGAAAGTGACATTTTGATTACTGTTCCCTTAATATGTGCATCAATTGGTAGTTTAAGTTTAATTAGTGATCGAGTAGAGAAAATTTTGCTATAAATGTCATCTTATCTAAATCAATTGAAGTAGTTGATTAATCGATAAAAATATATACATTAAGAGGACTATTTTGAATCATTGTTACGCAATTACTAAACCAAATTCCTTGAGATTGTTTTGCCATCTCTTTTCTTTGAAAAAAAAATTATGGGATCAAAGGTTATCGTTTTCAAATGGAAGCATACATCACAGGGGAGAATCAAATTATGTTTGTCTTATTAAGTTTTAATAATTCCATAAAAAAAATTATATTTCCCTTAAACGGTAATAACTTTTTTCTTAGTTGTTATATTTTCTCAATGTATACATAATGATGAGCATTAAATAGTCTGTCTATTTTTGGTTTCTTTAATTAAGTATTGATTATTGAATAATTTTTTCTCTTTTGTATGTGCGTGCAGTAAACAGAAAAATAATAATTTATTCAGTAAAGATCACATAGAGTAAATAAAAAAATAACAATTGCATTATTTAACACTTCAAAGTCCCACATATAAAACAAATGGTTGATGGATAAACTATACACAAACGTGGTTAGATTTTGTAGAATACCATTTTAGATCGATTGGAAGGACCCTTTCAACAAATAATATTAAATTAAACAGATTGTTTATGTTAGTATCTGCACGAAGTAGGTTAGATATAAGCTATGTAAACAGGGACGGCTGTTTCGGCAACCCTATAAATTAAGGGTTTATGTTTTCTTCTGCAGCAGGAATTGAGATTTTTTTCCTGCACTCACAGCAACAGTGCCCATTTGTTTTTTTCTTTTTGTTTTTTTAATTATAAAGTGGACTCCACATAGAAAATTATTTCACTCACATGAGATAAGATATTTCCAGCAAAATAAGATAACTATTTCCCATAAATTAATAGCAATTAAATTTTGTTTATTCTTCTACATTTGAAGTCAAAACAATGGCTTATAAGTTTTGCAATTCTTTATTCTTCATTGATAATGACAACTAAGCGACTCAATAATTGCATACAGTACAGTTGTAATATTTTTTTAATACAAAAAAAAAAAAGAATTGTAAAAATAGATTAGTCTATACCATTGACATGAATCTGACTGCAAGGAAAGAATCAAATATGTAATCTAAAATAAACCTGAATTTGATGTTGGACGGAAATAGGTTAGGCTAAACTATATTTTAAATAAATCAGATTTGTATAAAAAATATTATATTTGGCCTGACATGTTAGTCTTGTATACGCTCAAATTTTAAATCTGACATGATCTATATTTAAAAATAAAAATCTTGACCTAAGACTATTAGCATGTTTAAACCTATTAGATATTTAATAATTAAAAATAACTAAAATAATATTACTTTAATATTTAAAATTATTAATATAATAATTTTATTTATTTTATTTAAAATCAATAATATAATATAAATCGTTTATAGGTTCAATATATACAAAAAAACCTATGGCATATTTTTTAAATAGGTTCTTTTAAAAATCTAGACATATTCTATTTAACTATTTATAATAGGTCAAATTTGACCTAATATAAACTAGGTCACGTGTCCTTATAAGCCAACCTAATCTATTTATATTCTTACTTCTTGCAATAATGAATTAGAGGGATTAGACAAAGTGATAAATCCTTATGAATGTTCACTTAGTATATAAGTGTTAGTGCTTAACTTCTGTATTAAATGAAAATGGGCTAAATATGAAAGATCATAAATATAAATATTCATTAATTTAATGCTTAAGATTTTGAATTGAAATGAAATATTATGATTTATTAAAAATTATTAATTAGGCTCATTAATGCGTAGATAGAGTTATCCATAAATGCCAATTTTGTCTCCTTGCCAAATTGCCAACCAAGAACTAGTATTATCTTTAAGAGGAAAAAAAATACAGTTTCTAAATTTCCTCTGAAAACAAATGGGGATATTTTCTGTAATTTTCTTTTGAAATTAATAAATAAATAACATAAAAGGATCCGTTTATAAATTTTTACAAATTACACTATATATTCCGTAAATACATAGTGTAATATAATATAATTCTGAGAATACATAGTGTAATTTGTAAACAAAAAATTTGTAAATAAATTCCCCTTGTAAATAACACTAAAGACTAAATGTACGAGAATGGGGTATGCATAAAACCTCCAACATGCTGAATGGAGACCACTTTGTAAGTAGATTAATCTCATGTTCGGTTTGGATCTCAATGGTGGGGGATTTGTAATCTCTTTTAAAAAAATTTAAAATAGTGTCTAATCTCATCTAAATTTTCAAATAAAAAAAATCGCGTATTAATGTTTTTACATAATACATACTTCACTAGTTTCATAGGGATGCCGAGATTATGTGTTGTGTCTCGGGAGGGAACAAACTCTTCAGTCTTTGGTCTTTATTTCACTTACACTTCCATGTGAAAGCCTCCTCTGCCTTTGGCCTAAGGCTTTTAGTCCTCAATGCCACGTTTCAAATGTACATGCCAAGTGGCATTTTCTTGACACCGTGTCATTCGAATTTTGAAGAAAAAAACAAACATATTGGTCCCTCATTCTCATCTCGTGAAGATTCTTCAATTTCAACAATTCCCCACCTAGTACTCAACCTCCCCCTTTTTTTTAGGTCTGGTTATTGTTCTAAAGTAAATCTACAAGCAGAGACTTAACATCTTATTTTATTTTTACAATAAACCTTTAAATCTGATTATTACATTACATCACCGATAACAAATACTAATTATTATGCCATACATTCTTTATATTATTAAGATTTTTATTAATGGTTTATTTTTGTAAATATTCTCCCAAAACATGTCTAATATATATTTGAGTAAAATTGCCAAAATTGTAAGAAATATGCTTATTTACTTACTAGTCATATTTTTGTTAAAGCATAATAAGCTTGAAATAAATTCAAAAAATAAAATAAAATTGATAAGCGTCATCTATTATTCCATGTATTAATTACATATGGATTCATTGAAGTTCTATGGCTCTGCAAAATGAGGAATTTTTTTTAGTGTTCCAGATTCTATGTGATCCTTCCATTCAAGAGGTGATATTTAGATAAAAAGTTATTTTTTATTTCTTCTCTCTCCTCATTAGTTGTTTGATTTTGATTGATGCGGACCACTATAAATGGTGGTCCAATGCAGAGTTTTAACTATTTTGTTCTTTGTTCAATACATATACTCTTGTGATATTGCAGCAAAGGTGTATACAAAGCTTCATTACCAAATTTAAGCGATGCTATACATGTGAGTTAGTAATAAAAAAACTTTAGATAACTTATAAGAGATCTTGAGTAAATAACTTTTATGACAAGTGGCACTAAAGAAAAATATACTAGTAAAAGATGCAAAGAAGACCCGTAGAGAAGCAATTAAGACTATAACCAAATACGAATTTCAAATGCATTGTTAACCATATAAAGATACTTTTTCTCATCAGTGTTGTTCCGTTTCAGTCACGTCTTATGACAAAGCGGCGAAGCCTCAAACCATGGTGGTCCTCTTTTTCTGATCCTCGTTTGGTGTCAATATCCCTCAATCCGAAAATACATCACTAGATAGCAATGATTTCTTGCCAACAATAATTTACGAAGGAAAGTTTACAAAGATGAAAACTAATAGAAATCATGCAATTTATACTATTTCTATACAACTTTTAAAAATAACTAAATAGTGTGTGATAATGCAGATTTTAAATAATTTATTTAAGGTCATAAAAGTTAAATTATTATCTAAAATGAGCAATGCTGTATATATATATAGCTTCATAAATACACGTGTTTTAGCAAGAAAACGAAGTTTCAGGATATTGAAGTAATGTGAGTTCCGATGGACAACAAAAATCAATCGGGAATACAAATGGGGATGATTTTGATTTTTCAAAAACATAAGATTTTCGGACACATTGTTAAGAACCTTGGGATACACCACTCCAAAAGCTAGCTCAAAGGGTGAGAGAGCCCAAAACCTTATAAACTCCACGTTAGTTGCACATACAACCAATGTGGGACTATATATCTCAACACGCCCCCTCACGCAAGAACCCTTTGGGCTAGAAGCGTGGAATTGCGCATGCCCAATTTTTAGTTTACTTTTTTGTGCTTTTTTTTTATTTTAATTTCACTTTAAAGCGGGGGACGGTGAGGCTCTGATACCATGTTAAGAACCTTGGGATACACACATGTTAGATATCTAAAAAAAATACACTAATTTTATATAAATCTTATTAAATAAAGAGTAAATCGATATTATTTATTAAAATTTACGTAAAGTTCATCTAATATAATAACGAATTGTGCCAAGTAATTAATATATTTCTAACATTTCGAGTACTGAAAAATGAACAAGACACGGATACTTGGTTGAAGCTGTCGGTTGAATTAAAAGATAGCATTTGAATCCTTTGAATTGAATGCACCTACGCACACTTCAATCAATGTTTTTTTTTTATTATTATATATGTGAAAGGGGTTTAAGATTTAGTGTAACGATGAGAAAGTAGACTAAAATTCAAATAATTATAACCGTTCTAACGTATGAAATGGTGTAGGTGTCTCAAATTTGGAAGTTTTGAAGAATGAATACTGCTATTTATAACCGAATGCATTTATACACGTTATGCAAACATGGCGGCTTTCTCGAGTTTTGCACGAGAATGCTAACTTTGAGTCCACTCTACCAAAGCACATGCAAGTGCCTTTGTTATAGGGACTCTTATTCTTCCTTCAATTAATATGCTCTGAAATTTTTTCTTTTCTTGGAATAGGAGTGAAATGTGCATATGATTAAATATATAGAAGGTGCTTTTGAAGATGGTCGAATCTTTTATATTTCTCGAAATAAATTATTTGAGTTGTTGCACGGAAAATAATCTTAATTTGGGATAATACTTTACTTGTATGTAACAATAGTTTCACATATGTGTTATCCAATAATTTGATATAATCATGGCTTCTTTAATGCACAAACATTTTTTTTTTAAGATGAGACTAATCGTATTTGAGTGTCTAAAAACATGACTTTATCTACATATGCTTCCAAATAATTCGAATTTTTTAACAAGTATCGGTAAAATTTGCTCGCATAATAGTTCAAGTTACCAATAAAATTACAACTTATAGCAGAAGCCTTTGATTTAACACCACTTAAATAACTAAACATTGAGAATATGGCTATTTAAAGTGTAAAAGATATCTATTTTCTCTCTTTATTTTCTGTTTTCCCTTATTTTTATTCAACCTCAATACGTATTACTACTTTTCTGATTTGATTAATGGATTAATTAAATATAAAGAAAATGAGAAACGAGTTAACACGCAAGTAGTAGAAGTCAAATCAAATTATTAGTGGTACGTATTAATAATCTTGATTCTTGAAGCATGCTCCACTTTGCGTTTGGATGAGTTAAAATCAAATACGTTTGACTAATTAGTTTATGTGATACAAGTTTTACTTAACAAGTCATTCAGTCACTAAACTTGTATTAGTAATTTTTTTTTTTTAATTTGTTGACCAAGAAAGACTGAATGCTAGTTGCATATCGTATGTAAAAGATTTCATATTGGGTGAACTCTCTAGGAAAAACTTAATAGACGAGACCCACATCTATTTATCATCAAATGATTTCTATAGAAATGTGTGACTTTTGTTAATCAAGAGTATAAAATTATCAACATGACTCGTATGTAAGTTATGTAAAGCATTGATGATTTTAATTTTAATTTTAATTTCGTACATTAAGACTTTATGAATTTTTTTAATTTGTGTAAGAGTTTCCAAAAGTCACCAAACTGTGGCTTTTGTCCCTTACCCCAAAGGAATGCATATGTGTGCACTCAAGTAAGTAGGTAACAATCAGTGCTCAAGTAAAAGCACTACTCACATTTTTGTATCAAAAAAAAAAAAAACAAAGCACTACTTTTCTGATTTGGGCTTGGAGTGCTACATAACAAACAGGCAAATAGCTATTCTGTTTAATGGCTCAGTGAGTTACTTCAAGATCTAGGCCCAGAAGCTCAAAAACCAAACTATGCAATATAGCAGTCTCAATATCCAAAGCTAATTCTTCATGTACTTCCTCAAATTCAAACCTGCCCCACCTCACCCTCCAATCCATTTCCTTGATACAAGCTTCCTTGTTATCATGCTCACTATCATAAGCAAATGACCCATCAATCCAATCCTTTGCTATTCTCAACATCTCTAACCCAAACTCATCAGCATTCCTAGTTTGATCACTCCTCCTCGCATTTAGTTCATCCTTGAAAATATCCAACAAAAGTTTATCATAATTGGCCTTAGAGTTCTGCACTGAATCAATTGCTTTAACACAATGTAGCAGCTCCCTTGCCCATTTCTCAACACAATCTTCTTCATCTTCATTGTCATCATCATTATTGTCTAGACTCTCAAATTTCTGAATGTGTTGTATGAAATTTTGATTTCTTCCTGTGCCATAGCCAAAATTAAGTTGTCATCATTCTCATATGATAGGATAATTAAGCTAGGTACCAAAAGAAACATGAAAAATAAATAAATAGAATTTATGAGTATGGCAAATTATATATATTGTGATTCTCACATAAATATAAATTAAATTGATTGGTCTAAAGATTATATGTTAGGAGATAAACTGAAGGGAAATAAGGAACTTACTTTTAATACTGAGCAAGGTTTGATCAAAGGAGGAGAACTCATCTTCTCCAACCTGAAGCACTGAAATTGGACTCTGTTGTTCTTCTTTTTGGCAAATTAAAACTTCCTGTTAACATTGAGATATTAAAATTTAAAACACATACAAATAGACACCCCATGTAACACTTTTTTCTTTCTGAAAAAAATACATACAAAGATCAAGGAAGTTAATTTTCAGTTTAGTCCTCTAAAGATTGAAGTGCTGTCACATTAGTTCTCTAAATTTCACTCTATTAGTTCTCTGAATATATTTTTCACCAAATTAATCTCCCAAAGATACAAAATAGTAATCAAATTCTTCATATGTCATCACTTTAGTCATTTACATGGATGAATTTGTAATTATTGTGTATATTTGAAGAACTAATTTGATGAATAAAATAAAAGATCGACATTTTAAGTTTTTTGAAAAACTAATGTAGCACCACTCTAATTTTTAGAGAACCAAATCAAGGATTTATTCTTTTAAAAATCATAAAAAAAATATCATTCCAACTTTTACAATTAACCAAAACAAGTTCAACATCATTTTTTATATAATTCATTTTTTTAAATTATATTTCTTTGATAACTTTTGAAGTGTATAAGATCTATCATACTTTTAAAATTATAATATAATTTATTTTGAATAATGTTTACTTTTGAAATTTTATGATTTAAATTTGTATAACATCTAAATTCATGCATTTTAGAGCAATATCACCAAAATCATGACACGCATTTACAACACACAACACAATCATACTCATTCAATTTGATTAAACTTAAAATAATACATAATAAATGAAAATGTTTCATATACAAATTTTTTTACAAATTCTGACAAACTATGTTATGTTTGACCAATCATACACTTCAATCAATCAAGAGTGTATGACTGGTCAGATTTAATGTAATTTGCAAAAAAATATTTGTAAACGATTCATTTCTCAATAATAAAATATAAAATAAAATTGCTTACCTTGTTCCCCATCTTTGCCTTTCCTGTTGCTGCACCCACCGAATCCTCGCTGCCATGTGGTGAAAAACTAAAGAGTGAAAATTCTGTATCCTCAACGTCGTCGTTTGGAGCATCCCATGAAGACAAAGTACAGTCACTCTCACTCCAACTCCACTCTTTGCTACTCCAACCGGTGGTCGCCGGAGAAGGTGGCTCCTCCGCCGCCACCACCGCCGGGTCCCGGCACACTTTCCACCGCATGATGTCCTTGATTTTCACCGTGGCTTTGGTTTCAGTACTGATCATGGATGGTTGTGATTTTTTAACTGCGGTGAAAGAAATAGCTTTGACAGCGTTTAGGAATGTTTGGAACACTGATTTAGTTAACCGGGTTTTGCTCCAAATTCTTGGATATGAATTCCTGGAATTGAGGTCCTTTGGTGATGAGTTATTTGGTTTTCTTGGAAGTGATTTGAACCCACTGGAGGAACAAGAATTTGAGTTGTTCTCGTTGAGGAAGTCCTTCAGCAATATTCGGGGCTTGCTGTGCTCCATTGAATGAATATTTTGGTTCATGTTTAAATTTCTAAGTGTGAGAGTAATAAAGTCGCGCGTACAAATGAAGTTGAAGAGTATGTTGAGGAAGATGATATAATGAATATGGAAGATTCAAGGTGATATAAATATATAGCTGCTCCTCCTCATCATGCAACATATAGCAATGATGCTATGCAAATAGTATTAAATTCAACTTATACTATATTTTGTTTACAGAAACATATTTTTGCAGTTAATGCAGATGAGTTATCTGCATTTACTTTTAAAATGATATCGTTTTGGGATTGAAAAATTAAAAATTATAATTATAAAGATTATAATAACCTGAAATAAATTAAAATTACAAAAACACTATAATTTTCGTCCTAAAACGACGTCGTATTGAGTTTACTGCACATAACTTATCTGCAGTAATTGCAGAAAAAGCGAACCCTTTGTTTTATCACATGTCTCTTTTTCTATCACTTTTACTTCGATATCCGTGTCATTTTTTTTAAGGTGAATTCCACTCATGGTAGTTAAAATTGAGATTTTACCTTAAATCGGAAGAGGATAAAAAATCATAAAACGTAAAATTCTAACGTAACAAAAATCGTAAAAAAAATGTAAAAGCGTTTGGAATTTTGATGAAATCATTTTAATTACAAAAAATCGTAAAATCGCAGATTTAAATCAGAATTTTAACTACCATAGTTCAACTTATTCCTCTCTTATTAGAAAAGCTTCATCTTCTCATGCAACATCAGAAGCTGCAAGTCCTTATATAATATTCAGAATAAAAGATCTTACATTCAATTTTGATTATTAATTTATTTGTATCTAATGATTTAAATATTTAATTAAATCAAAACCGTTAAATATAAATATAATTCAGTGATTAAAAAGTATAACTTATATCGGTATAATAAAATGACGTCACTCTTATATTTTTATCTAATTAAATTATATATATATATATATATATATATATATATATATATATATATATATATATAATATAGTTCGGTGATTAATTAGTTTGTAATGAATATAAGTGGGGAGTGAGATTGCGAGCATGATGTGAAAGTGGTTGTGAGGGTTGTGGTGGTTGGAATTGGAAGCATGTACTTAATATTTTATCAGATGAATGGAGTTGACTAATTAAGACTCAGACCAGGGGATTGTCTTAGATATAAATGAACTGTCATTTTAAGGGTACATCTCTTTGTCACATGCAGATGTAGCAATTGGGACGTATGTCCAGCCATAATAGTACTAATAATATAAATTGAGATTGAGGTTAGCGTTTTAGATATGGTGTGAATCGCGTGCATTGCTTTCTTCATTTGCCGTAAATTAACTTAGGACGATGAAGCAGGAGCGTGATCTGAAGAAGATTTAGATATCTTTGATGCATTTTGAAATTGCCCAGTGGCTATTAGGCAGATCAGCATGGCTATATATCACGTGGCGAATCCTGATTTGCTAACGACACAACATGTTCGATGATACGTGGGAGATGGGGGGATCCATCCAATGTTGTTTTTATTACAAAATGCACACAATGCGTGATCTCTTCGTATTGGCTCCGTTCTATGCCCAACCCCAACCCCACGCTCCCAATATTTATTTTTATTTTTAACTTTTTATAAGAAGAGGAGCATTATATTTAGAATCTAAATTTTTTACAATCTCTTATATTCTATTTTTCATTGATTTCCGTCAATTTAATAATTTTGATTTATCGGATCGCATTTATTATTAGTTATTTATTTTCAATAAATTATAATTGTTAGATTGACAGAAATTAACGATGAAAAATAAGTTGTAAGATATTGTAAAACTTTTAACACTCCTCTTATAAAAAAATATATGATCAAAATAAAATAGGACAAATTGAGCAAACAAAACAATTAGGTGCTCGCTACATGTACCAAGTTTGACTCAATAGCTTATTTTATGCTTACCTTATATGCATACTAAAATATTAGATTATGATTATTTTATGCTTATCTTTTATGCCTATGGTGGCTCACTCTGATCATTTCCTATAATGTCATAGAAATTTTTGAAACGGAGACTTTAAAACTCATGAGAAAATTACCTAATTTCAATAAGAGGTTATAAGGGACTACGATGCACGGACACGGACACAGGACACGACACGCCGACACGTTAATTCTAAAAATGTCATATTTGGACACGTTTTGATGTTAAATAAATTTTTTAATATATATAATATGATTTATATTTAATACATATAAGAGTCCATAATAAGTCATATAACCAATTAAATATTTAAATTTCATAACATAAATATAAATATAAATAATTTTTCGTAGTTTGTTAATTTTTAATGTCAAATTTTATAACAGAAAAAATTTAATTTAGAAATTATTTTTTTTATATTTAGTTAACAAAATAAAATTAAGATTTAAAAAAAAAAAATAAATAAATAAATAAAAACGTGTTCGAGCGTGTCCCCAAATGTTGACCGCGTGTCTCTAAATATTGACTGCTTGTCGGAACGTGTCGGAGAATTGACCGCGTGTCCCCAAATGTTGACCGCGTGTCGGACGCGTGTCGAAGCGTGTCCGTGTCGGACACTTGTCTGACATGTAAATTTCAAAAAAAATTGCGTGTCCGTGTAAAGGAGATAAGGGACAATAAATTATAACTTCCCTCTTCTTTAAATTTTAAAACGAAGTCTTTAAACCTCATGAAAAAATTACCTAATTTCAAGAAGAGGGAAGTTATAATTTATTTTTCCTTATAACCTCTTATAATATTTTTATTGTTATTGAATCAAAATAAAATTAAGAGTTACAAAATGACATTAAATAAGAGTTATTAATTTGATTTTAATTCAACAATTATAAAAATAGTGGTAAGATATTTAAAAAAAAAAAGATTGTAAATATAATATAATCTCTGGCTTTTTCACCCTTTTTTCCCTCATTAATTAATTAAAAACTATTTTGCCCCTGATTCAAAACTATCCACCAATTTGTCTCTCTTTAATCGATTAACATGAATATTTAATCGATTAAATGGTCAAAAAAGACAAAAATGGTTGACTCGAGATTTAATCAATTTATTCTCCATATTTAATCGATTAAATCTCCCAACAGTTAACAAAGGATTTCAAGTCAATATAACTTTTTAATCGATTAAATAGGGAGATTTAATCGATTAAATCTCGAGTCAACCATTTAATCGATTAAATATTCATGTTAATCGATTAAAGAGGGGCAAATTAGTGGATAGTTTTGAATCAGGGGCAAAATTGTTATTAATTAATTAATGAGGGGCAAAAGGGTCAAAAAGCCTATAATCTCTCCATTTCAAGAATTTAAAGAATTACTTAAATATATAACACGGTCACAGAGTGAAATCCAAATCACTTCTAGTGCAATATACGTACATAAATTTCACTCACCTCAATAATATTCTCCACAACCTAAGGTTTGGTGTCAAATTTTCTAATTTGACACTTGTATTAAAGATCCTATCTTTTTTATGAGGAAGGTTATACTTACAACCTTTTATTTTTACAACCTCTTACAATCATATATCATAACCGTTGATTTCCGTCAATCAACGGTTGTCATTTATTATGAATTAATAATTAATTAATGAATTTAATTTGCGAAAATCATAACCGTTGATTGACGGAAATCAACGGTTATGATATATGGTTGTAAGAGGTTGAAAAAAAAAGTTGTAACTATAAAGTTTGACATTTTATTTTAGAGTTGTTAGCTCAAAAAAGATCAACAACTCTGATTTGTAAGCATGTGACATCATTGATCTTTTTTATCTAATGACTTTCAGATGAGGTGTCAAAGGATCCTACCTTTTATATATATATATATATATATATATATATATATATATATATAATTTGACACCTCATCTGAGAGCCGTTAGATCAAAAAAGATCAACAATGTCACATGCTTACAAATCAGAGACGTTGATCTTTTTTTATTTAACGGCTTTCAGATGAGGTGTCAAAGGATCCTACCTCTCTCTCTCTATATATATAACCTCTATATATATATATACATAGGATTTTATAATTCTCATGTTGAAGGAGAATTGAAACCTTATGTTGTTGAGATAAAAAGCATGTGAGACCCATGTGTTAGAAAAAAATATATGTAGGACCCATGTCAGCACGGAAATCGAAGAGTGTGTAGGGAAATTATAATTCTCATGTTAAATGAGAATTATAAAACTCATATATATATATATATATATATATATATATATATATATATATATTTACTTAAATAATCGGTTATAGAGTCAAACCGTAGAGCAAAATTTACATAACTCTTGAAAAAATAATTGATTACTATTTCAATAATTAATTATTTGACCCAAAGAAAGAGCTTAAGATCTAATTAACTCCCGCATAACCAAATATTACTTACAATAATCCATTATCCTGTTGTCAACACAAAAAATTAAAGTTTTAGAAGCTAAAATAATAGGTTATGGAACAAAATGATATATTATTTAGGGAGATCCATTTATCATCATAAAAGTTTATCACCATTACAACTAACTTAATCACCGTTTCGTCAATCTAACAGTTATAATTTATTGAAACTTAATAATTAATTAATAAATGTGACTCAATAAATTATAACCTTTAGATTAACAGAAACTAACGGTTAAGATTTAGTGGTAAGAAAAAATGGTGGTAAGTAGATCCCTCCCCTATTATTTATGGGAAAAATATTTGTTATTTTAAAGAATATAATAATCATTTTAGTTAAAACTAGTATTTTTTATTTAAAATTTTAATTAAAAAAAACCATTCACTTTCTTCCTCGTTATTTTCATTGTCTATCTCTTTTTTTTTCACTTAAAATGATACAATTGTTTTATTATGTATCTATTTTTTCACTTAAAATAATACAATTCTATATCTTTAAAAAGACAAACATTATGTACCAAAAAAAATAAAAAAAGGACAAACATCATACCCATCATTTATATAAGTCTTCAGACTTCAAAATTTTCTGGGTTTACACACAAAATTTGTAGACCCTTTGAAGCGTTTGTGTTTGATTCTCTTTACATATAAATCTCATATGACACAATTCATTCCCAAAACAATATTCGACATTTTGAAACGAATGAATATTAGTTTTTTTTTTTTTTTGGGATAATTGAATATTAGTTTTATATAGTGCATCTTATCTGTCATATCATATAATTTTAGAATTTATTGTATTACCTATATCTCATATCGATATCCATACTTCCTCTGTTTATAATTTATACACATACACAACCATACACATTTTTGTTATACACATAAAAATATACAAAAGTTTTATTTTTTGTGCGGTCAATGTAAATAAATTATTTATATTGAGCCAAAAATGACGTCATTTTTGACAAAAATTAAGATATTTTTATAATTATAATTTATTTCAGGTTTATAACATTCTTTCTCATTAAAAATTAAAATGATGTCATTTTTGAAATTGATATAAATTACTTATCTACATTTATTGGAAACATCAAAAGCCATATACAAATGATCCTTTATTCCATAAAATTTATTTAAGTGCAATGAAAGAAAAAAAAAACGAGAGAAAAAGTTCATCATTTAACTTTGCTGAGCCCATCGTACAGCAAAATGGACAATGCTGAGTCCATCATACCCAAACGGGCTTTTGAACTTTTAACAATTAACTTCAACGGCACAAATACCCAACGGCTCTATCTTATTCTCTATACTCAAAAAAAAAAAAAAAAAAAAAAGAGTCACGCTTCGTCGGCTTCATCCAAAGAGGAAACCTAACACACAACGCCTTCACTGGGTTTCAGTACAAGATTGAATTTTGATTATGTTTTTGCATACCCATTTTCGTAATTAAGAAAAAAAATGGGGGTTGGTGGTAATTTCTGGGACCTGCTTAAACCCTATGCACGCAACGAGGGTTTTGATTTCTTGAGGAACAAGCGAGTTGCTGTGGACCTGTCCTTCTGGATTGTTCAGCACGAGAATGCCATCAAGAACCATGCCAGGAAACCCCATCTTAGGCTCATGTTCTTCCGCACCATCAATCTCTTCTCCAAGGTTCTCTCTTTCTCTTTTTTTTTTTTCTTGCTGGTGGAGGATGCAGTGGAAAGTTATAGAATTTTGGCTTATTTTTTGGGGGAAATGTTAGTTTTTTTAAGAACCTTTTGATCGGATGATTATAAAAAAGCAGAAGAGATTAACTCGTTAGTTAATGAAATATGTTATTATATTTTTTATTTTGCTTGAGTATGCTTCTTTTGTGTAAGGCTTAATGATTTTAAATTTAAATTACTTGAATGGAGTGTCACTAGTACTCTAAATTATTATTATTATTATTTTTTTATTTTAAAAAATAAATCATAGTATGTTGATTTGGCATGGAACAATTAAACAAAGCTTGGAAGTGTGATGTTTGATAATGATATAGTTGTTTTGCAGTTTGGAGCATTTCCAGTGTTCATTGTTGATGGTACTCCGTCCCCTTTGAAATCACATGCTAGGATTTCAAGATTTTTCCGGTCTTCTGGCATTGAATTGACTAGCTTGCCAGTTCCTGAAGAAGGTGTTTCAGCCGAAAGGAATCGATCATTTTCAAGTTGTGTTCAAGAATGTGTGGTGTGATAATTCTTCTACCTTGCTGCATACCATCAACTTGAGACTGTTCTAATGTTTCTACTTTGGCATTTAGCTTCTACACATGTGCATTCATCCATATTTTCTTCCCAAATGTTTCTACTTTGGCATTTAGCTTCTACACATGTGCATTCATCCATATTTTCTTCCCAAATGTTACTTTCATACCTTATATCAAGAACACTTCCTTAGTTATATACTTGCCAGACATGGATACATGTTTTTTGTTTTTGTTTTGTTTGTTGTTCTTTTGGAAGGCCTTTCATGTATTTCATGTTAGTTACTTGTTGTTCGGTGATAGGAACTTGTTGAGCTACTTGGAATGCCTGTATTAAAATCTAAAGGAGAGGCCGAAGCACTCTGTGCTCAATTGAATAGCGAAGGTCATGTAGATGCCTGCATCACAGCAGATAGTGATGCATTCCTCTTTGGGGCCAAATGCATTATAAAATGTTTCCATACCAATTCCAAAGTAAGTGATCATCTTCATTTTATTTTATTTATATTTCATTTCATCCCTTGGCAATTTATAATATAGGCTATTATTTATCTATTTGAATATATTGGTTGCGTCTATTTTTTTGCTTAGTCCATAGGTTTTTATGTCAGATGACTTTTACTAAATGGTATCATGAATCTCGATACTGGTATTGATTGATCACTTGAGTTTTGAGTTTTTATTGCATACAACTTACAAACTTGTTTGGCCCGATATAGTTCAAAGTTAAATTTATGATATCTATCAAAGGCACTTCAGTGTTTCTTCTTTGTAATGTCATGTCATAAAAGGAATCTCTTATCTGGTTCTTGTCTTTTTGAAAAACTTGATAAAGTTGTAGTATTTGTCTATCTCATATCTCCCATAACTTAGCAATGCCAGAAATTGATTGATATCCCACATTTGCTTAAAAGTTTCACTTATATATTTGAATTATAATGTCCTCCTGACTGTCTCAACAATTACAAACTTATGGCTGCGCCTTTTCTGCTTAGAGGGTGTACTTGAGAACACTTTATTGACATTTTAGAGAGATGAAATACACTTTATGCAATACACAAATATTTACCTAGAAAGAACAATTTAAACCTTCGAAAGTACTTGTTTTTTTTTTTTTAATAACTTGTATCCTGCACTTCCCTCTTCCCCTCATTTGTTAAAAGTTGATATGCGTTTAGTTCCTTGCCTTTTTTAGCAAGTTTGAGATTCATTGCATACAGGAACCATTTGAATGCTACGATATGTCTGATATTGAAGCTGGCCTTGAGTTGAAGAGGAAACACTTCATAGCTATCTCTCTTTTGGTCGGAAATGATCATGATATGAATGGTGTTCAAGGGATTGGGCTTGATACTGCTCTTAAGTTTGTTCAAGCTTTTAGTGAAGATGATATATTGAATAGGTATATATCCTTCAGAGTTAAATACTTATATATCAGCCAAATGTTTTTAATGTTACAGAACATCCGCTTGAGATGGGACAGATTACAAGAATCTCTCTTTTTTAAATTTTAACAAATTCACTTTTAATTTCCTTCTCCGAGAAGGTGTTTGGAATCTACCCCATTTTTATTGTAATATTTTGAAAGCTCAGGGGAAAGGTGTATCTATTTGATTCAATCCTTAAATATATCTTAGCTTTTATGTGTAGTCATGAGATTGTGGTTTTAAAGTGAGACGTAGATGACGTGAATAAATTTTTCCGGTGTTGGCAGTCTGGATTGATAATGATCTTTAACGCAGATTACGTGAGATAGGCAAAGGGAATGTTTCACAAGTTCCCTTCAGCATTAAATCTGACGATAATATGGATACGGATGGTAACTTTCCAAATACAAAACAACCTCACTGCTCATTCTGTGGGCATCCTGGCAAAAAAAGAGATCATATGAAGTTTTCATGTGAATATTGCATCACCAATGACAATGAAGGTTGCCTGAGAAAACCAGAGGGTTTTAAATGTGATTGCGTCCCCTGTGATATGGTAAGGCCTCTCGATCAGTTTAATCGCTTGCTGTTTTGTTGAAGTAGTTCGGAATGTCATATCACTGATTTGGTTTTTAATTTTTTATTATACCTTTAGTTGAATTTAAACAAATTGACATGTCGTAGTTCAGTAAAATATAAGGGTGCATTTGGTTTGTTTTATTGTTTCATTTTAGGTTGATATGTTTTCACTAATAATTAGAAAAATGATTCATTGTATTCACCATTTTGCTTTGCAAGTTCTTGAAAACGGGAAATAAAGTGAAAACAAGGTTGAATTTTTATAATTGTTGTAAAAAAAAAATTCATTTCTTGTAATTTGCAGTAGCACTTAATGATATTTGATTGCAGAATAGGAAACATAAGAGACAACAACAGCTGGAAAATCGGCACACAAAAATTTGTCACAAGATTGCTGACGAGCCAAATTTTCCCAAGGATGAAATCATTGACATGTATTTATGCAATGACAATGGTTACTTTTCTGGTACGTTGAACTGTGAGATGAATGTAATCAATGACTTTTTTTGTATATGGTTGTTCCATTAGAGTTGTTTATGTGTGCTATTGTTTTTATGCTCATTCTATACTTTATATACCTTTGTTTGCAGCAAATGATGGCCCTAGCATCTTATGGGAAAGACCCAATATTGAGATGTTGGTTGATTTTTTGAACTTCCATCAGCGCTGGGATCCGTCCTACGTTCGACGGATGATGTTTCCTATGATGTCCACAATCTTTTTGAGGGATATGGCTACAACTAGAGTAAAAAGTTTGTTATTTGGACAATATGAGTTTGATTCTTTAGAACGTGTGAAGATGAAATATGGACATCAGTTTTATGTGGTCAAGTGGAAGAAACATGCAGGAGGAAACATTGCCTCTAAAATTCCATCAAATGAATCTAGCACGCAACAAGATGTTCCAGAGCTCGATGAATCGACGGATCTACTGGATGACTGTGATATTCCTGAGATACATGAAAAAAATGGATGTAGTTTTCTGTTGACAGATGAAAATATGGACCTTGTAGGGGCTGCTTTTCCAGCACAAGTTGACAGGTTTTGGCAGGAACAGGTGTTTATCATTTCTCATCTACCTGTAGTTTGCAACAACTAGGATGATATCAAAATTACTTCTACTGTCCTGGTTATGTTATATTTTTGTTGTTGTTGCAAGTTTGAGTCTAAAGACATGTTGTGATTGAAATTTGCAGGAACTGAAGGATTTGAAAAGAAGAAAGAATTCTACTTCAAGATCTCAAGAAAACGAAAATCCAAAAACACCAAACTCTGTCCAGCTAAACATTACAGAGTTCTACCAATCAACAAAGCTTAAACATCAACAATCAAAACAAGGTGAAAAGTCATCAAAGAATATTGATAGCCAAGGCAGTGGAGCCTCAAAAATGAAAAGGAAAATTTCAAGTCCTAATCTTCCAAAATCTGTTAGGCGTCGCCTTTTATTTGACTAGTATATGCCTGAGCTCTGGAGAGTGTGTCAGTTACAATAGTCCTATGAGTTTTTACCTTAGATTTAGATAAGGTCACTTCTTTTTAGGAAGTCTCTGTAAGGCTCTAGCGTATAGATAGCCTTTTTATTTTTTTTTTGGAATGCCTGAGTCCGAATCTTTCAGGAGTCTGTGTAAGCTTAGCAGTTAAGAAAACTCCTATTGTCATATATATATTGTCATATTCTCTTAGGATTTCCAGTGCAAGCCCAGGGAAATCCCTTCCAATTGAAGTTTCGTAACTGAATCTTCTACTTTTTCATTCCTGCTCGAATTTAGCAAGTCCATTCAGAAACAAGAAAATGACATTGCGATTTGGGTTTGATCTCGACGAAAACAATACATCAATGAGAAGTTCGTTCAATAAGGTTAGTCCATTTTTTTTTCTATTATAATAGAGGATAGGTTAATATAGATATAATATAACTAATATATATAATAACTAATACTAATTAAAGGCGTCCAAAGTTGATTTTTCTTGAGGGTCGGAGAAGGGCCATCACTCATTAATATTAGTTTGCAATTATGTCATATCTCACTAAAGCTGTCGCAAAGTCCTATATTTTACCTTAGCTCATTATGACGTTTTTGTGTTAGGGTTTTTTTTTAGCTCTAATCCTCAAAGTCTTATAATTTAGCAGGCTGGGTTAGGGCTAGCCTGTGAATCAAATTTTTTTCTTCATCAAAATTTTTATTATTTAAAAAGTTATATGAATTTAAATATTTATAAATATAAAATAAATTATAAACATAATATAAGTAAAAATTATTGTTAATTCGATGGAGAATATAAGAGAGTGAAATATGAAAGAAAGGAAAATGAAGTGTAAGGATTCGTAGCGGGATTGAAGAAGCATCAAAGCAAACCAATATTTGTGGAAATTGCAAGAAACGAGGATATAACAAGCACACCTGCAAAGAATAAATAAGCATTCATTATAGATTTTTTTTTGTGGATTCAGTTCTTTATTTATAAAATTTGTTATTATTTATTTGTTGACTTTTTTTGTTGCAGATAATACGATGATTTTTCATACAATTACATAAGTTGACAAAGCTGACTCATACTTAGATTATTTTTTTTTTTACAGTTTCTGCTACTGTCATGTTGTAGTTCGATTTAAAAAATAGAGTGGAATGGAAATATTGTAATTTTGTCTTTGTGGTTCTATTTTACTGTCATGTTGTGGTTCTATTTACCAAGAAAGCATTTAGTGCTTTTTAATTATTAATTTTATTCCTGGCGTTTTTATCAATCCCGCTCTATAATAATTAATTAGTGTACAGTGGGTGTGTTTGAAGAGCTTCTAAATTTTTTTTTTTTTTTTTTTTTTGTAAATAAAGAGCTTCTAAATTTCAATACTCTACTGTGTTACTTATAGAGAACAATCAAGACTCAGCGAGAAAAATACAATTCAAAAAGGAAAGAATCAATTTTTATTTATATGGCAATTGCTCTGTTACATCTTAGTATGATTACAATTGAGATAAATACATTGAACTAAAGGAATATTACAAGTGGAAGAAGAACAACAGTCCATGTATTGAAAATTTACACATAATCAGCTTTTGCAACAATAATAGCTGCTGCCTTGTTATAAGCTACAATGAATAGCTGCTCCACCATTTTCCAAGCTTTCATATTGAAGTACCAATCTGTCCTGCTAGTTCTGTGGTTCAGAAATTGTTGGGTATTCAGTTGATTGTATATCAGAAACGGTTCCCTAAAGAGGATGGGCCAGTACACATCGCTTCTGACAGGAACAAAACATGTTTACATGCATAGCCATGGGCAGAGATGGGGTTTGCAGTGTGATGGGTCATTGCCGAGGGCCTTTTGGCAGTGGCTGCATTGGTGGGATTTGCAGTGTTGTTTGGCGGCGGTCTGTTGATATGACTGCCATTGCCACGGGCTGCAGGGACATCATGGTGTTGCTTTCCCTCATAGGTTGTGATAACAGCCCTTAGGTCATGTGAGGCTCGATGTATATGCTTCCTCACTGGACATCATAGGTTGTGTACACTTGTATTGACTCCTACAAGTCACAAGTTAAACACAATATCAGACAAGAAAGCTGACAGTACCATTATTATTCTAAATAACATGCATACAAGAGAAAAATGGAGGTTGCCAAATTTGACCAATAAATTTTAGACGAGGCAAAGAGGAACTGGTACTAACTAGCATGCTGTAGAGTTTAAACATCCCAAAAAGTCCCTAAAAAGATAGATAGAGAAATAGCATTCATAATGTTTTACCACATTTCAGTAGTTAAGAATTTATTGGCATGAATTTCTACAATTGAGCTCACCCTTTAGCCTAGAAGCAACACTGCCATTGGACATGTATGGATAAACTAAAAGCCTTTCTGTTGGTGTCATACAAAATCCATAAAGTTTTTTGGAGGTTTTTGTGCACTGCCAAGCTTATCATTTCAACTTCAATTTGAAATTGTACCTAATGGTATAGCATCTAGGGAAACAAATATATTGCTGTCAACATCAATACAAATGACCATGTAGAATATATCAAAGAAAAAACATGTGGGAAAGTTATGTAAGGAAAAATCATTCAATTTAAAAAATAACCATGACCAATTCTGAAGGGATCTTACTCGCAGTACTAATTCAAGTTCATGGACATGGGCATGAGAGTCATCCCAGGGCACTTTGATCCTTTTTCTGTGGCACCGACAAGGGGGATTCCATTAATAATGAAACAGCACAATGGAATGCTATTATTAAGCCTCCTGAAACCATTTTAAGAACTGTTAAGCTCTAGAAATCAGGTTACTAATAATAATGAAATCTTCTAAGCTTCAATCACAGTTAATAAATGATTACAGGTATTGGAGGTTCTCAGGTGACCCAGAGAGGGAGGAATTTCCCCATTGAAGAAGTTATCAGAGAGATCAAGACTTTGAAGCTTGGAGAGTTTTCCAATCTCTGAAGGGATTGGTCTAGTTATGTTGTTATCTCTGAAGGGATTTGGTCTGGTTGACAAATACATAAGTAACTCAGTATTCTATTAAACGATTCATCAAATATCAAATGCAATGAACTCATTAAGCTCAACTTCAAGAAAGGCCAATCTTTTCACTTGTGTACAGATGACTGATACATGGATATGTGCAACGGATGCCAGACTTCATTTTTGTATGAGCCAGACTTCATTTTCTGACCACCAATTCAACTGCTTCATGTATTGTAATATCACAGTGAAAGCAATTAAGTGAACTGAAAATGTAAAGGTCCAATACACTGTAATCAGAAATTTAAAAGCAATTTAAATGAGCCAAAAGAATGGACTGGATTTACAAATTTTCTTTGGAAGATTTCAATCATTATTTAGGAGGTAACAAAAGCAAAGTATGGAGCTTTTAAATGATGAAGCAAACTGTTTTCATAGTTAAATATATTGCAAGTAAAACTCATTCTCCAACTAGACGAAACAACACCACATGTCCACAGCCGTATTCAAATAAAATGAGGATGTCGAAAACCAATATTTTGGTCAGACCAGCTCAGAATAAACTTATTATCCAAAATCAGCCATAAGATGAAACTAGTTCAATTATAGCCTCAGCAACAGAATATGAGAAAATTAACATAGATTTCTATAGGCACAAATACACCAAAGAACTTTGACATTACAAATCGGCATAATTGTACTCAGTTAGCCAGTGATCTTAGTCCACAAACAGTACCTTCGAAAATGGAAACAAAAAATGACATTCATGCCTTGTGTAAGCTACAGCCTAACATGTATATTTCAAGGTTCCAGTATGACCATGCGTTGACCTATTCTGGAATAGTCTACAGAAGTATCATGGTCAAAAACCATACAATTAGTTGCCCAACAGAGTGAAGTGAAAGAAAAAGCATACAAATTTCAAGCACAAGTCATCAAACTCCATTCAATCAAAACCTGACATGATGCAACTATTACTCTTTTGATAAGATAGAAGCTTTCTTAGAAGGTCTAAATTGAAAGTTTGAGCATTAGCAATAATGAGTCAAAATTTAAATACCTAGAAAGAAAAAAAAAACCCCAACCTGCAGTGGCGAAGAGACTCATAGCGTTCCTTATCAGTAATAACAGTTTTTCCCTTATACTTGTGGGTGGTCTCATCATTGCAGCATCCAACAAGGAGATAAGTGTTTGGAAACCTTCAATTAAAAAAAAAACGATTGATAGAATAATTCAGCAGGCAACAAAAAAAACATGAAAGCTTCCACTATAGGGTCCGGATTCTGAGAAATCCCAAAAAAATAAAAAAAATAAAAACCTGGTTCAGAGTTTTGGGTTCACTTTGTAAAAAAATAAAAATAAGTCGTTGTGCAAAGACAAACCCCCCCAAAAAAAAAATAGAGAGAGAGAGAAAAAATTACAATGAATTAGGGAAAAGAATGGAGTCAGAGAGAGATATGTATATAATGCGGGTGAAAGATGTCAATGCCCGGCGGAGATAGGGTTGTCAGAGCTGCGTCTTCTCCATCGCAGGGGAGGAGAGAACCAGGGTGGAGTCAGAGAGAGAGAGAAAAGAGTAAAAAAAAATTATTTATGTTTTGAATTTGAACCGTTACATGATACTGGAATCTAACGATTTCGAAAACGGTAGATAGAATAACTTATCCTCTATATATATATATGAGAAATATTATTTTTTTTATATGAGGTAACTTATTTTATTTTTTCTCACTTCAATTTTCGTATCCCACTTTTTTCTTCTTTTTATTTTTTCTTGTAATGATGGGACTCACCTATTTTCTCTCTAATAATTATTTTACGTGGGAGGAGATTAATAAAACCATATATATATATATATATATATATATATATATATATATATATATATATAATACCAAGGATGATTGCAAAATCGTTTGTACACTCTTACATGTAATAAATTATGTCGTTTTCCAATGATACACCTTCTAACTAAGCGAAATTTAGTACCAAAGAGTAATATCCTAATCAAAATTTTCTTGGGTTTTAGAACGAATAAAATGAATCCCCATTTATCATGACTGGTTTACACATTGTACTAATACACACTAAGAAAAAAAAAATTAACTTCAGTTTACATTCATTACGAGTTATTATGTTACACCGATATCAATATGGGACACAGAATATAATATGACACACGATACTCTGACACGTTAATTTTAAAAAATATTAAATTTTGACATGTTAAGACACATTTTGATATTATATAATATTTATAATTTATGTAGTGTATATTATATTTAATATTTAAAAATTTAACAAAAAAATAAAGCTAAATGTATAATACCCATCAATTTTGCAAAGAAACATAAGATATCTTAAATGTTTATATCAAACTCAATAAAATAGTAATCGTAATCAAATAAATTAATAGTTGGAACTCAAAATGCAGCGCAATATAACCTTTGAACATTTTTTAAATCTTTGCAATGAGTATTGAAGTGTCGATGAATGTCGGACACCACACGGGGGATTTTGAAGTGTCTGTACTTCATAGATTAGGAGTTGGTAGAAAAGAATGATATCACAAAATCACTAATTTATATCAAAGTGTTGTATAGTAAAACAATAAAAAGATAGTCTTAAATTCAAATACTTGGGAATACAGATATCTTAACTTAATAGAGAGAGTTTTGTTGTCCATATCATTTTATCCATTCCAATCGAACTAATTGAATAATCCATAAATTGATGGATAATATTAAAAAAAAAATATATAGCAAAAATACATAATATGTGGGAAGATTCAAAACAGATTGCAACGAGAGTAACTACCAACGGAAAAACATGTCCCCTTTACCACTATGCTATCTTCAAACGCTCCCGCCAATATCTCACGCCGCAACGCTTAACTGCCGCCCCAAACCACTCCTGCCGGCGCATGATAGCACCACCGGCGCACGGGGGCGAACGCTATACGTAGCTTGTGCTGAGAGAAGCAACAAAACTTCGACGGGAAGCACAGACGATTACCATTCCACTCTCAGAGCTCTCAACTCCAAAGGCAGATTCCCTAGAAAATCTCTTGGCCAGGTTCTCACTCATTTTAGATTCTGTTTGTTTCCCGAGAAAATTTTAGATGACCGGTTGTGTTCTAGTACTCCAAAATCCAGTTTTTTTTTTCTTCTTGTCTGGAGGTGATATTTTCGGGAAATCGTTAGGGATGCTTAGTTGGGGCGTTTTATCGAACAGAGGGTGGGTGTGTTGTGTGTTGTGCTTGGTTTCGCCTGAATTTTGTGTTGTACCACTCCAAAATCTGAGTTTGTCTTTTTGTTTTGTTGTTTGGAAGTGATTTTTGAGGAAATTGTTTTGATACTCCATTGGGGCGTTTTATCAAACAGAGGGTGGATTCTTGGTGCTACCTGAATTTCATCTTTTAGCTCTCCAAAATCCCATCTTTTCTTTTTGTTTTCATATTTGGAGGTGGTTTTCCTGTCAATTGTTTGAGGACTTCAATTGGGAAGGGAGGGGTGCGCGTGAAATGAGTTTGCTTCTGAAATTTTTGCTCATTTGGGTGTTGATGTGATTTGCAGCATTATATGTTGAACGCCGACATAAATGAGCAACTTGCTGGTGCGGCTGGTGTCGAACAAGGTGATGTAGTGTTGGAAATTGGGCCCGGAACTGGTTCCTTGACCAACGTTCTTTTAACTTCTGGTGCATTTGTTCTCGCAGTTGAGAAGGTTTGTTGATTTTCATTAGTAGAACTAATCTTACTACAAAGATACACTACCTCATGCTTTCCACGACTTGTTAGTTTCTTTGAAGTTTGTCTACAATTGAGACAGTTAGTTGTACATGTTTGCATATGTGAAAGCATGTAATTATGAGTTTAGTTGTGTCTTTTTTGGCCATGTTGTTGTTAACTTGTATATCTCTATATTACATTTAAATGTTAATGGTTGCGACTTAGGTTGTGTAAATTTTCGTATTTTGTGGTAAGTTGGAGTGGTGATTCTTCATTGCTGTCTTCTACTTTAACTCAAGTTTATGCTTTTGTATCTTTCATGGGATTCAGGATAAACACATGGCTGCCCTCGTGAATGAAAGATTTTCAAGTACTGGAAAGTTGAAGGTACAGCTCATGGTGAATTTAAACTTTATATTGTGTGGCATTGGAATTAATTGAGATATAATTTAGTTACCATGTTGTAGGTAAAAGGGGTATATTCCCTATAGTTTTGTTAGCTGATGTTGTTTAACATTGAAATCTAGTTACTTATGGTGCTAACCAAGATTATATTTTATCTTGACACACATCACATGATTGGGATTACTAATGCTCCTTGCTTGGCCTCATTGTTAGAGTCAGAGTGTGGAACTACACTTAATGTGGTATAGTAGTGTCATCTTGGTTTCCCTTTGGTGATTGCTACTAGTTTTTCTTTAGTTTCTTCTTAAAGCATTTAGAAGTTATCTTATGCCACACCTCACCTTGTAACTTCTCCGTAATTCTTGATATTTCAGTTCATTTGTTACTTCTGTTTGTTCATTGTATTGCCTGACAGTATTTCGAATGCCTATGTCACGATTTTAATGCTAGAATTATGATAATTTAGGACCGGTTCTGCTGTATATACTACGATTAATGTTGACCTTTTGATAAAATACCTGTAGGTTGTGACTGAGGATATTGTCAAATGTCATGTGCGCTCTCATATGTCATCATGGGTTGGAAGCCTAAAGCAAATGGATCCAGAAACTAGAAATGCAAAAGTGAGGACTCGACTTCCTAAACTAGCCAGCAACATTGTTTTGTCATTTGTCAATTTTTAGAAGAAATGTCATACTACATCTGATTCATTTTGTTTTTCGAATAAAAAGAGTTGGTAATGCTTTCATTTTATGATCTCCACAGTTCAAATCATGTTTGAAGCTTAAGCCTTACAACTACTTAGATATGATAATTTTATTAAAAATAAATAAATCCAAGGTTCTCTTGATTCACTTGTGAGGTATCGATTTGGGCTGGCCCGCTATGGGCTTTGAATTTTTTTGACTCAGGCTAACATTTTGCGGGCCAAGCCCAGCCCTATGCTGGTTGATGGCTGGGCAGGTCATTTATCTGGTCCCATGCATGAACTTAGAAAAACGAAAAAAAAAATCCTTAACAGAGTCTTTCTAGACGCAATACTGCAGTTTTTTCCATTGTAAAAAGCTTCTCATGTACCTTTGGAATCAGAACAAATCCTTTGAAAATAAATATTGCCTTTGCCACTTGATAAAGGGGGATTTTGATCTTAAATTTCTGCTCCACTCATTACTGTGAGGAAATAGAAAGCATAGCTTGCACTTTGCACAGGTAGCAGAGGGGACTTTGGGGATGCAATGGGCCAATTGCTATCGGTCAGGTCAGCCCAGTATGGGCAAGCTTATATCAGGCCTGGCCTGGTCACATTTATGCAGGGCTAGTTCATCTCACTTGACTCCTTTTGACATCCCTAGTCACTTCTTCTGTTTTACCCTTTATATCTATGTTGGTCTGTATAGGCGTACAGCGAGTCTGTCACTATTTATGTTATAAACCTAAATAAAGTCATTTGACAGCTTAACTACATGGACCCTAAACTAGGTAGCAATATATTAACCATTAAGTTTTGGTGTTCTGCTTGCAAGATTATTCCAGAAAATATGCAACTTAATGTAAATCCTGAATTGGACTGTTTTGGAATGTTGTGTTCAGGTGGTTGCCAACATTCCCTTTAATATCAGTACAGATGTGATTAAACTACTACTTCCAATGGGTGACATTTTCTCAGAAGTGGTTCTATTACTCCAGGTTAGAATTAATAGTTCTCTAGTGTATATCATTTACTTTTGCTACTTATAGTTTCAGAATTTTTTTCTCATTAGCTCCTACGTATTAATTACTGATGTTTCCATCCCGATCATTCAACCCCCTACCCATCATTTACTTGATCCAAAGTGCAAGAGCTTCTCGTGTTCAAGTTTAAGATGGAAATCATTTACTTGCTTTAGTTTAGCATCATTTACTTGCTTAAGCATCATTTATGTGTGCCTTCACCCTGTGTTACTTATTTCTGCTTCAATTTTTCGTCTTCTATAGTAAATCCACCAAAGTTACTGACATCACATCACAGTGATATCAGTATCCGCAGAAGAATAATACAGGAGATTATGTTTTGATCCAGTTTCTCTCAGCCTCCCTTTTAAATGTTCAGTCTTTATTCTTTTGATCTTTCATCTTTGAAATTTACACCAATGACCTAATGGAATGAGATTAGAAATTCCAATAATAAGTGAAACTTAATGTAACAATTATTGACCAAACAAATCAAACCATTGCAGGAGGAGACTGCCTTGCGCTTGGTGGTATCATCACTCCGGACCCCTGAGTATCGTCCCATCAATATATTTGTTAATTTCTACTCAGGTACATATGTAGCACATAATAGTTAAGTGTTATGTACTAACGTTAATGGTTATTGTTCAACAACTGCTGTCCACAATCAAGGATCACAATTTGTCTTATGGTAAACAAGGGCAAATCCCACTCCACAAGTCTCCTCGACTTTTGGGGTGAGGGCCAATTATATATACAGCTTTACACTTTCATTTTTGCAAAGAGGTTGTTCGTTAACTCAAACATGTGAACTTTCGGTCACAAAGGAGCAATCTCACCGTTGCTTTTCTTTTTGTAAAAAAAAAAAAAAAAAAAAAAAAAAAAAAAAAAAAAAAAAAAAAAAAAACCCTGTAACACTGATCCGGTTACTGAAAAGATTGAACTGTCAGACCATCTGTCTTGACATTTATGATAGAAGGAGCTGTAAATCAAGGAAATGCTTGTAAAAATTTGGGTTTAACTGCTGTGGATGTGGTTTCTTAATAAATTACTTATACATCAAAATGCAACTTGAGATTTTGCTATCCCTTACACACAATTTGGTTAATGCGGAAGTTCTGGCTTTCCTTTGCAGATCCTGAGTACAAATTTAAGGTCCCAAGAACAAATTTTTTCCCTCAGCCTAATGTAAGTGATCTGATACTTAAATGTGTCTGTATGATCTTGATTGTGGCATTTTGTTTTAATGCACTTGAGGACAGATAAACTACACAGTATCTCCTCGAAGAAGCTTAGCTGTTTTTTGTCTCCATGTAATTTATTTAGGATAATCCATTATATACAAGAGCCATTGCCTGTATATATGATTCTTTTGATATCAAGAGATAAAAGTGGGTGATGTCCTGTGAAGCAACTTGTTTGCAAGGAAGTGAAAGACATTACTGGTAATGAAAGTAAAGAAAACCTTTTTTTTATAACCAACAATAATAATGAAAGTAATGTCCATACAGCACTTGTAATAGGTAAGAGAAAGGCAGGATCTGTGGTCATCCCCGCTTACATTACCTAACAGAAGATTTTGTGGTTAGGAAGAGAAATCAGTCTGATTTGTTTTCATGTCCCTGCAGGTTGATGCAGCCGTTGTCTCATTCAAGCTGAAGCTACCAACAGAATATCCCAAAGTTTCTTCCAGTAAAAGCTTCTTCTCAATGGTAGCCCTTTCTCCAGCATATACTGTCATGCATTGAGTTTCCAAGGATTTTCATCTTTACTTTCATTAGAAGTCTAATTGCACTGAAATATCCCATGATGCATTAATTGCTGAAGATGTCCATTTGCTAATTTTTATTCCTAAATACTGTAAACCAAGATAATGTTACACACCTCTTTTCACCATTTCAATGACCTTTTAGTTCTGTATACTAATAGGTTAATTCAGCGTTCAATGAGAAGCGTAAAATGCTGCGCAAGTCACTTCAACACATATGCACATCCCTTGAGATCGAAGAAGCTTTAAAAAGCTTAGGTCTTCTAGCCACCGTAAGTGATCAGTGTGTGATACTTTTTTTTTTTCATGCCCTCACTAAACCTCATTTGTTCTGATATTTTGTTGCTCAAGGACTCTGCTGAACCATTTGTACTTTTGATGTTTACAGTCAAGACCTGAAGAACTAACATTGGATGATTTTGTGAAGTTGCATAGCTTGATTGCCAAAGAGTAGCAATCTGGATTACAGTGGAATTGAAGAGCAACCTCTAGCAGAAGAAGGCCCTAGAGGTTCACATATTCATAAGGCTCTTTGTTGCAGCATATACATGATGCGGAGAGCAAGGGTTTTAAGGAGAGCTATGGCATCTCAGGTGGGGGATATATTAGATTCCCAGCAGTTTTATTCTTCTTATGTTTCAAGGATAGGGGCATCTTCATATCGGAAAGAAAGATTGCAGGATCAAGTTATCCAAAAAAGAAAAAAGATTGCAGGATCAAACCCATGTCCATTCAGTGAATATAATTAGACTAGACTTCCTTGTGCTATGTATAATCTAGTAAATTGCATTGCTATAGAAGCAGTGTAGCTAGACTGAATCACACCAGATTGTGTAAATAAAGAGCAATGTATTCCTGAAGCTAAAACAGGTGTTTGCCACATCATAAGGGAAAGGGAAGATATTTTTAATTCTGGTTCTAATGTTGATTAAGTATCTAACTAAATGTTATCAAATCGTGAATAGTAAAACTAATTTTTGAATCAAGGAACCGTAAAATTCAGAGACAACAAAAAACAACTCGAAATATATCATATAAATAATGTATAATGCTCAATGTAAATAATTTTGAATAAGAAATTAGGAATTAACAGAACAACTTAACAAAATTATATGTCATAAATCATAATGTGACTGCACGAAGCCTATATTTAGAAGAACAAAAACAAAGTATTTCGAATAAGGTGCTCATAGACTAAGTCTAACTTTGTAAAGCTTCTAGACCTTAGCATAACACCTTAGCATTACAAGGATGAGTTGATTTATGCAGCCTTAGCTCACTCTGCATTCAAAATTTTCTATGTCTGAGGACCATAATTATCAACAAAAATTAGTTCCCCAGATGAAAAATCAAAACCAGAATAAAAGAAAATAGAGCAAATCAACAACATCATATATGTTGTGTGTCACATATGAAACTAGCCATGAAACTGGTAGACAAGGTCCAATGCCCTCAACCTCATAGCATGTGGATCATAATCCTTCACTCTCCCCACAAACCCATCATCGGACAACCGTTTTTCCTCCACAAAAGCCGCCGCAGACGGCGAAAGTGGCCTTTTTTGGCGCTTATTCTTGATGAAGCAATTCCTCATTTTCTCCTCAACCTTATCAATTGTGCATTTGGAAGTCCCTTCATCATCATCATCGTCGTCATCTTCGTCGTCCCCCATCTGCATAGGTTCACCATCTGGGGCGGCGCCGTTGGCGGAGGAGAAGGAGTTCTCCGCCGCCGGCGGAGGATGAGGAGAAGGGTATTGGAGTGTGGAGAGGAAGTTGGAGAGATGGTGATGGGCATGGTGAAGGCAAGTGTGGATTTGGTGGATATGGGTTGGATTATTGGTGGATGATAGCTGTTTTGCCATGATGGTGGCTTGATGCAGAGACAGAATCAGTTCTGCTAATGATGGGGTTGGTTCATCCATGAAAAAGTTTAAAACTTTTTTTTTTTTCTTCTTTCTTCTTTTTAATTTGTGTTGATGATGATGGTACTACAAAACAATGTGTGTCTTGTGGGATATGAGTTTTTGTGACTTTTGTGGGCGATGTTAAATAAACAGTGTACTAGGTTGGTCTAGAAAGCGTGTTCTAGCACAAGTTTGGTGATGTTTTTTTGGTCGTTACTGACATTCTTCTCTGTATGAAACCCTCCCTTGAATCTCTCGTTTTTTTTTTTTTTTAATTCAACTGCAGTTACTAATGGGTGTGAGAGTGGACCCAAACAGAGTTGGGTTAGATTAGGCTACACTTTGATATAAACAAATTAGATTTATATAAAATATTTTGAGTTTAGTATAATTTATTAGTTTATTAATTGGGAAAAGTGTTTGTCATTTTAAATGACAGAAAGTTACGTCATTTGAAGAGAGATATAGACACGGAAAATTTGAATTTTAAATTAAAAAAACCACCCGCTCTCCTATGATTTTCGTTTTTCTGTGTCTATCTCTCTCTTAAAATGACATAACTTATGTCATTTAAAATGACAAACACCAAACCCTTATTAATTTTGTCTCATTTATATTTAAAAATCAAAAAATCTTATTCAAGTCTATTAGCCAATATAAATCTAGTGGATTAATTTTCTTATTTTATATATTACACACACTTAATATATGAGTGGGGTTCACTAAAAAATAAGAAGATAAAAAAATTAAAATGAGATCCGTCTTTTAATTGTATTCGTAATATGAATAATACTTGTGTTGGGTTCATAAAAAATAAGAAGATAAAAAAATCAAAATGGGATCCACCTTTTAAGTAACATGAGAAAATGTTCTGATGTAAAATGAGAAAATTATTTCCCATAAATCTATGAAATCCTTAAAATCTATTAAGAATTAAACATAATAATAAACATAAATAACATAATATAAGTAGCTCTATAAACTCATGCCTTGTTGTATAAGGTATGGGACCTAGATTTTAAAACCTGAACTTGTTTTATGTTACAAAATATATTAAATCAAGCCAAGTCTCATGTAAATCGAGCAGTAAGTCTTAATAGACCGTTGGTTTATTTACACTCTTACCCCCTAAATATTCAAATTGGATATTTTGCAAAGAAATATTAAATTGCAATCTTTTACTCTAATCAAATTTGTTTTATTTTTATGTATAATAAAAAAATAATTTTATTATTTAATCATAAATTTGAAGATAAAGTTTATAAAAAAGTTTAAAAAAAAATATTTTAATTATTAATCTTTGATCTTTGGGTGACAAAATTATATTGAAAGGTGAATGAGACTCTCAGACAGAGGCAGAATTAGGGGGCTAGGGAGGCGGCCGCAAACTCCACCCCCCTCCCAATTTTATTTTTTTTGAAGGAAAGTATATATATAAAAATAGTGCTTAATGGGTTGTTTACTTGTTTCCCTGATAAGATCATGTGCACAATCTATTGTAGAGTTTGCTTAATTGTCACATATTGTTATAAGTTATCTACAGTTGCGGTTTAAGGGATGGGTTATGTGTGAGACTTCACTTATTAGAGATGATGGTGTTGGTGGGGGTACACAGGAAAGCTGATAAGTGATTAGTTCATACTTTATCAGCCAACAAAGTTAAAGTTTTTTTTTCTTATTTATATTCTTTTATTTTTAATGTATTTAAAACTTAAAAAAAAAAAAATCTGGCGCTGCCCTCAAACCCCTACAACTAAATTTGCAAATATAAATAATATTTTTTTTTTAGAAATATTTCAATCGGTTCATTCCTTCGCAACTAATTCAATTTGAGGCGGGTCCAAGATTAAGATAAATAATATTTTCTGAATTCGTCACTTCCCCTGATATAAATTTCTGGTTCCACCATTAATATGAGAGAAATCATTTTTTAGGAAGTTCTCAATTAAACTTTATTTCTAGCCAAAAGAGACTAGAAGGTTCCAAATTTTCTTAGAAATGGTATATGATATGATATAGCGGTATTCCTTTGCCTCTCAAGTTTTTTACCATTTTACGTTACAATAATAATAGAGTAAACACCCGTTTTAGTCCCTGTCCCTTTTTAGTCCCTGGCAATAAAAAAGGACCAAATTGGTCCCTGAAATTACAAAAAAGGGCCATGTTAGTCCTTATGTCAACTCCCAAATATGTAGAGTGACCATTTTCTTGTACTTTCAGGGACCAATTTGGTCCTTTTTTATTGCTAGGGACTGAAAAGGACTTCGTAGATATTGTCAGGGACTAAAAAGGGTGTTTACTCATAATAATAACTTTTTCTGGATGTTTACAAATTTTCGTTTTACATATGATTCTTTTTAAGAAAAAATTGTTTTGAACTGATCCATTCTTATGAAAAGATAAAGAAGAAAAATAAGGTTTTATCTAGTGAGCTTTTAATTCTGTTTTTAATTTTTTTGGTCAAGTTAGAACTTAAAAGAATGAGTAAAAAATTTATTTGAACAATTACATATAAGTTCACATTATGTTTTTTCTATAAATTGGTGAAAATTTTATCTCTTATACTACATTAAGTTGACATTATATACTTTTTCTTTTTCTTTTTAAAGATATTTTAATCGAGCCATTGTTTCGCAATTAGTCAATTCGAGACTAGTCTTAGGATTAAGGCTTTAAACTCCTCAAAGACAATATTGAAATAAATTTTTTTTTTTTTTTTGTCTTTTCTCATTGTAAGATCCCACCAACATTCATATATATATAGAGAGAGAGAGAGAGGGGTAAATATTTCTACAACCACTTTAGATAAGGTTATCTACAATTATCTCAAAAACTACGTCGTTTTAATTAATGATGGGTATTTTTGTAATTGTAGGTGAATTAATGAAAGGTGTTTCTGTAATTTTGTTTATTTTTTTTATTATATGCATTTTTTTGAAATACCCTTTATTAATTCACCTAAAATTACAGAAACAACATTCATTAATCAAAATGACGTAATTTTTGGAGTAGCTATAGATAACATTATCTAAAGTAGATGTAGAAATATTTTTTTCCATATATATATATATATATCAAATTTTTTGAAGTGTCGGTACATCATAGGTAGACACTTTTGAACTTTGATGGAATATTTAACTAGATTAATATGTGTAATAAAGTAGGCAACAATTATACTTATTATTATTTTAGTCTTATTATTCTTACTATCTGATTGGTTATCGTTGAATCAATTTAAAAAATAGGAAAAATTAACTCTCATTGATTTCAAATTGATCTAAGGTAACAAATCAGGTAATAATAGTAGTAAGGCTAAAATAATAGTAAATATAATCTTTCCTAATAAAATATGGACGTTTTAAATTTATTAAAATTAATACACTTGCTTTGTATAAAGCTTTTTAAAGATAACAAAATTTTTGAAAAAATTGGAAAGGTTTGAAAAGATAAAATTTAAGATAAAGAAGGGGAAATTGAATGTCATTAAAACAAAATAAATTAGTTTAAATAAAAAATTAATAATAAAAAAATTATCAAGTGAGTTTTTGTGAAAGAACATGAATACATACTATAGATATATATAGATAGATATCTGGTCACAGAAAACAAAAAGATGGTCATTCCAACGTACTTAAAGAGTTAAAGCTTGAGACTGTCTCTTGGCCCGTAGGTCCTGACACAAGATTAGAATTCTAGCTCTTCTAGAGTAGTATCTCACTGATGGCTCGGACCCCCCAAAAAGAGGTCTTCTCCCCCCTCCACCTAAGCTGCGCAGGAAAAGCCCAAAGCCAATCCTAGGGAACAGTGAAGCTTCGTAGGGTCTTTCTGTCCGGGTAGAGATAATTCGCATCTTCGCAGACATGTCTATTTCACCGAACCTCTCTTCGAGACAATGCCCGATCGTTACGCCTTTCGTGCAGGACTTGCCTTATACAAAAACTAGAGTCACTATAAAATAAAATCTCTCTACTAAGAAAAAAGTTAAAAACCATCCGGCAAAATTGCAAAAATTTAGACTACTTATATTCCACTGTTGGCAGAATTTGTTCCAACCCCAGTTTAATGCAAACCAATTATTGTCCTTTATCAGCTTTAATTTATCATCAATGTCTTCTCTTTTCACTGTACATGGATCGAATTGAACTAAATTTCAAAGAATCAAACTTCTTTTTATCCCAAACCAATTCGGTTCGGTTTGAAAATGATTCGAGTTGATTTAGTATGAAACCAGTTCGGATCGAACCTATTTTAAAAAGAAAATAAAAAAATAAAGTAATAAAATTAAAGATAAGAGTAAAAGAAGCTACTAAATAAATAAATAAGAAAAATAGAAAAAAAAATTAAAAAAAGAGAAGAGAAAAAGAGAAAAAAAAATTCGATTCTTGAACTAGTTCTTAAAAATTAGTTCGGTTCGTGAACTTATTTTTTAAAAGCCAAATATTTTAAGTACAATTCATGGGGAAGGTTATACTTACAACCTATTTTCTTTACAACCTTTTACAACCATATATCTTAACCGTTGGTTTCCGTCAATCAACTGTTAAGATTTTCGTAAATTAAATTTATTAATTAATTATTAAATCACAATAAATGATAACCGTTGATTGACAGAAATCAACGGTTAAAATATATGGTTATAAGAGGTTGTAAAGAAAATAAGTTGTAAGTATAACCTTCCTCACAATTCAATTCATTTAGTTCAATTTTTTTTTATTCTTTTGCGTACTCCAATTTTTCACTCTCATCAAACTACTTCCCGATTAAAAGCCCATTAATATATTATCTGCAGTATCACAAATCTGAAGATTTTGGTAGAGTTAACTAGTTAAGCTTAGAAGTTCTGGTGTTAATAAAGAATAAAATGGATCACGCTAAGTTGCTGGTGGTTCTTAACTTCGTACCATGTGCTCTGCAGCACCGTCATTATAAAAAATATGCAACAACGTGACCAAGAAAAAGGAATGAAGAGACCACAAATATGGTAACAATTACCATGTTATGTGAGAATGGACAAAGATTGCTTTTCAACGTTTGAGGGTAGTTTATAATTCGACATGAAAACTATGTATTTAGTTTAAGTTATTAGGGAAAAGAAACTTTTTTTGTTTTTTGAAATATTCCAATTGATTCATCGCTTCGTGACTAGTCTAATTCGGAGCGGGTTCAGGATTAAGGCTTTAAACCTCTTCCAAATATGATACTGAGAAGGATCAAATACATACTCTCTCACCTTCACCTCCCATACACCAACTGAGCTACCACCATTTAATAAGGAAAACAACTTTTAAACACTAAGGGTGTCAATGAAACATGACAAGTAAATTCACATATAAGCTATTCCAACAAATGGGCTAAACTAAACTAACTATAATCTAACATTTGATTCATGGGTCCTCCAAGTTATATAGTCTTCAATTATCCTATTACCAACTAATGTTGAATTCCATTACACTTGAATATCCCAACAGATTCCATACGCAACAAAGATTTGACGAGAAAAAAGAAAGAAAATAGATTATTTCAGTTCAGCTACCAGACCAATTTATCTTGCAAAATCTGCATACTATTATTTTACTTTCATTTCTGAGAAAGAATAAAAAGGAAAGGAAAATGTAGTATAATTGTGGTTCCTTTAAACAGTTTTACCTCAAAATAAGAATTATAGAAGGACCATACAAACCTAGCACAGCAAGAGATTCCAAATTGTGCCTGACTCTGTGCATCAATAGAATAACAAGAACAGGCGTAAAAACAGATGTTCCTCTAAACAGTTTCCAGGATCACAAAGTTAAGCAATATGAATATTGCAGTCTCAGACATAACTCACAAATTAAAATAATAGGGAAAAACATGCTTACAAACCACTTTAAAAAAGTGACTAAAGAATAAAGATTCATTTTTTATTTTTTTTTGTAGAAAAAAAAATTGACAAGACTTTAAAAAAGATTCATTTTTGTATTGACAAGACTTTTTCTTTAAAAAATTGAAAGAGACTCAAACCCTTTGACTCTTTTTTAATGTCTCTCAATATGAATTATACATCATAGATAATGCCACTAGTAATTTCACACAAAAACAAGATTCTAACACACCACCATGCACATGGACAGATCATAGTTATAAGATGATGTGGTACTAAGGTTGGTACTTTAATTTACAGATTTAAGGTTTTGTGCCTGATTTCCTGATCTCCAAATTCTTACATATTCGGTTAGCTCCCATTTCAACAGTAGTTAGAGGACCTAGCCTGCACATAATGACTCTTGGTCTGGCAATAAACTTTGAGCTTAATAAAGTTGCAAATAAGTCAACTTAATCAACCTATGATGGTGGCATCAAAGACCTGATTCAGACTCTACATCTCATGCATTGGTGAAGAAAAAAAGAAAGTAAATTGGATCATGTTTGCTCTAATCAAGAATGAAGTAAATTGGTATCACCAACTGCTAATGCAATAAATCAAAGTAATTTTTGCTATAAATATTATAAAATTGAATATCCAATCTTATGGGAAAAATGATTGCTTAATTAGTGATCAGAGATATATTTATAGTTTTGAAATATAAACAATTATGTAACATGTCCAAATTATATTGAAACATGTAAATAACAATTGTAAATATAATTTTTTCAATCATTTTATTTCTTGCATATTGTTATATATCACCCTAGTTTATCCAAATTTTCTAGATGCATCCTATGACAAGGAACATGAAATTTATCACCTTTATCTCAAACTAGTAGGGTGAAAGCATAAAGTTATCAACTGAAAAATAATTGTACAAGAGACAAAATATGTAATTAAATATTTGCTTAATCTCTTATGCATGAACAAGAGTAGTGTGCTTGCTAGAGGAAGCCATGCCATGATCAAAATAACTTCAACTTGGAATGTAAGATATTCCATCAAAAACTAGGCCTGTAGATGCTACAAAAGGAAACATATTATGCACATGTAAGCTGCAGAAATCACTGCTGGCATGCCCAGTTTTACACCACCAAGTAAATAAGAAATCCATATAACAGACAAAGAATTTGAATCTGATCTAACTAGAAGCATTGCTCCACAGAAGCAGAAATTGTGTACTATTTTCTTTTGAGCATATCAACCCCTTTAGGTTTCTTATATTATTGCCTTGATTCTGGCTCTCCAGAAGTTGGTTGTAAGGAGTTACTAACAGTAGGTTCAACATGCCTCTCAATATCTTCATTCCTTTCTGATGTGTGAGAATCATCAATATACTGACTCATGGTAAATGTCACTGGTCTCACATGTTTTGTTTCAGAAGAGTTTTTCAATGGAAGACGGCATACTGGACAGGTAGATTGTTTTCTCAGCCATGTATCAATGCAAGAAAGATGAAAAGTGTGGCCACATTTGGGCATAATGCGTAATACTTCTCTTTCTTTGTAATCTGCCAAACATATTACACACCTGTGGAAGCAAACTTGAGTATTTATATATATTCATTTACTTCTCCTTGCATGAGCTTCTTAATCTATTAAGTGCTTGTTCTATATCATGAGCTCTTATAACAAAAATTTGGAGAACAATATTTAGTAGTAAGAAAATTGCTGTTTCAGTCAACATAAAAAAGTTAAATTCTGCTGTCAAGAAAAGAAAATATGAGGAATTTGTTCTCTGTGACCTCCAATAGAGAGACTAGACTTAACTGTGTATCTTCAATGGAACTGAAAGCCTCTTGATTGAACTTCAAAGTGGGGATTGCATCAACCAGAACAGGTTCTTGTTCAGGGTCATTAACATGATACTCTGGCTATCAGTAAACAATGAAAAATTAAAATCTAAAGCACCCAACCTTAACAGATTAAACATTATTTGACAAAGTATATTCTCTTGTGGCCACTCACTACTTGAAGGGTCAGGAAACATGCAAATTCATGAACTAGAAATTATACAATGAAAAAGTCTCCCATTACAAGGAGGGTTAGAACATGCTAATTCATCTTCCAAAAAGACAAATCAATTTAAGGGGCAGTATATATGTTCATTACAAAATACCCAATTCTACATCTGATTGAAATTCTTATAGCCAAGTCACAGATTTAGTTTTGGAAATAGAATGCAGCATTTGCATCAGAGTCAGAAGTTAAAGTATTGGATCAGAGCAACAATCTACGAGTCATGACCAAATAAAATAGAGAACATACTATTGACAAAAGTTTCATAAGAATTGAACAAAATACCCAAAATCAAGTCATGTTCACAAGCAAAAACAACACATAGGGGAAGGCACAGCTGAAATTACCAGTTCTATATCAATTCTTGATTCAATCTCATACATCATCCGAGATTCAACACCCCCTCGTAGCCTTCCACAAATTATTCTTGTGCAGACAAACACAATGAAGGTTGCACTCATGCAAAACCCAATGACCGTGGTCACCAAATTGGTACCTGAACCCAACATCACCAACACCCCCACTTCACAAAAACTAATCCTCAACACTAAGGATGCAACCACAACAAACCCCAAAAGCTAGGAACACAACAACATGACACCCCCACTTCACAGATTCTTCAACATGAAACCAATAGTGTACCAAAAAGACAAAAGAAAATAAAAACAGAAAAAAGAAAAGAGACCCATGTCAGAGTCCTTCAAAAAAATGGAAACTTTTTGAGGTCAGAGAGAATAAAACCATTTGAACTATGAAGAGGTGGAATCACAATGGCTTTGGTGTGACTCAAAGGTGAACAGACAACACTAGAGAGCTGTGGAAGAAGACCCTTTTGGAATCGTGTTGGTGGGGTCCACTTTCATGAGGCTGGACCCACACAGATATTCTTGATCAGACGGTTGAAATTTGCTGTCTTTTTTCGGCGTCAAAGATCGTAACGGTAAAAAAATGAAAATGGTGAAACAGCGGTTCGGTTAGATTCACTCTGGATTTTGAGAATCAGACAACTCTCAAACTGATTCAATCCCATGTCTCCTCAATCAGGAAAATTACAAGATTTGATGTTTTGTTTTGTCTATCTCTCTTGTCATATATTTCTTGAAAAAATCTTCCCATATTATAATAATGGATTTGGTGTTTGACATCTTAAATGACATAAGTTACGTTATTTTAGAAGAAGAGAGATAGACAGAAAAAATGGAAATCATTTAAGAGAGAAAATAGGTGATTTTTTTAATTTAAAATTTAAATAAAAAGATTTATTCTGTGTCTATCTCTCTTAAAATGACATAATTTTATGTCATTTAAAATGACAAACAATTTTCCCTTTAATAATAGGAAAAATATTTTCTTACGTTGAACAAGAATTCAATTCTCATGTTGTGATCTTTCAATTTACGTGCAATTTTTTTTTCTCTTTTAAATAAATGTGGAGTTCACCACTAGTAAGACACAACCATGGTAGTTAAAATCGGGATTTTAACTAAAATTGGAAGGAAGATAAAAAATCGTGAAACGTAAAATCCTAACGTATAAAAATCGTAAAAAAAAAATCATAAAAACGTAAAAGCGTTTGGAATTTTGATGAAATCGTTTTGATTAAACAAAATCGTAAAAGTGTAGATTTAAATCGAGATTTTAACTACCATGGTCACAACGTGATGAACGAGAATTCAATTCTCATGTTGTGATCCTTCGATTTGCGTGCAATTTTTTTCTTTTTTTCTCTTTTAAATAAATGTGAAGTTCACCACTAGTTGAGTCACACCGTGAGAATTCAATATTCATGTAACAGGAGAAAATCAAATCCATATATATATATATATATATATATATATATATATATATATATATATCTTTTTAAATAAATCGCATATATTTTTCTTTAAATCAATTCTATTCGAGTCAATAATATTCACGTCAAAATAGGGTTATCTTTCTCAAAAAAAATTTGTTACATTTATAAAAATTGGAGCTCAAAATCTTACCTAAGCAGCATATATTAGAACCGACCTCCTTCGGTTTATTTTAATAATGTATTAATACATGATTGAATAATAAAAGTATTTATAGTATATTAATAAAATTATTACATTAGTCGTTGGGCATTTTATAATATATTAATAAAAGTATTTATAATATCTTATTTTAATATCTCATAATATATTTAGTCGTTGAACATTTTATAAACTATTACATTATTTAATAAAATTATTTATTCATTTAATAATTAAGAACTAATAAAGTGCCTGACAAGTATTTAAAAATAAGAAAATGGTTACATAAAAATTCATAAAAGGCTCACCCATTTTTGTGTGATATCTTGTGCAGTAATGCTTTTGTGTAAGAAACAAATATGTCAATAGAACCATGCGGGTAACTAACTAGCTATTAGCTAACATCAAATTCTTGTGGAACGAGCCGTTCTAAACTATTCTTAACTGGTAGCTCAGTTGTTAGTATGAGAATTGAGTGGTGGGAGAGGACCTCGATTCGAATCCCACCAAAAGAGGGGTATAAGTACTGTGATTCTTGGACTCGCACCCAAACTCTGGATTAGTTTCATAGACAGCTCAAAGAGTCGAACCCGTGGAAATACCGAAAAGTTCTGATTCGTCTTAAAAAAATAATTAGATCCTATATAAAAAAAAAAACTATTCCTCTCTCTCCGTACCGCACTACATATGATATCCCTTTTGGTTTTTTTGGTAAATTAAAAACTAGAAGATTTTTCACTATTTTAATTTTAAGTCAACCTTATTTATTAAGGAAAAGAATAATAATGTTGACATACCTTTTTTTTAGTATAATGAATTTATATGTGGTTTTTTTAACAGTATAAGGTACTTAATTATTTTTAAGAGGGGAAAAACAGTTACTTGTTATCAACAACAAACCCAGCTAAACAATTATTTAGGTGTAAGTGTGAAATCTTGCTGCTTCTGATATTTTTCTGTTTTCTTTTAGGGTTTTAATTTTTTCATTAAGTAGAAAAATAATTTCTTATATTATATACACATTTTGTGTGGGCTTATATTTATTAAAAATAAAAGAAATAGATATACAAAAATCGAAAATTCACTGGTGAGAAAAAATATTTCTCCTATAATATAAGAAAATATTTTTTTTTTATCTTTATTTGTACTTTTTATTTTCTATTTTGTTAAGGATTCTCTGTTAGAATAGTAAGTTGAGCAGATGGCAAGATGAGAATTTAGGGGGCGTTTGGTACGCGGTATTTGGCCGGATTCCCGGGAAACTGAATTTTTCTAAATTTTAAATTTTCGAATATTATCGTAAACTGAATGTAAAAATCATATTTTTGAAAATTGAGATTCCCGGACAAATAAAAATTTCTCTTGTACCAAACGCCCTCTAGATTGGAGTTTCGGCAAGGTACTTATTTCAATCTAAGATTCAAACAAAAATAAATAATGTTTTGGATCTCGTTAATGCACATTATGTGCTGTCTTCAGTCTTCACAGCATAATTATTCTATTCTAGTGAAAAGACCCAGTGGTTTCTTGTAACTTGTAACTCGGTCAATGAATATAATAACTTAAAGTGGTGTAGGAAAGCTGCAATTTGCTTTGCCTAATTCAAAATTTTCAATTTCCAAAATACAAGTAATTCCTTTATTCTTGACCATGAACACCTTTAGGGGACGTTTGGTACATGGCATTTGGCCGGATTCTCGGGAAACTGAATTTTTCTAAATTTTAAATTTCCAGATATTATAATAAACTGAATGTAAAAATCATATTTTTGAAAATTGAGATTCCCGGACAAATAAAACTTTCTCCTGTACCAAACGCCCCTTAGTACTACAAACAGGTAACAAGTTCAGTAAAAAAAAAAAATTATTTGATCATCTGAAATTTATACTTTTGTTGTTAGAGATAAAAATATTTTTGAACTTTCACAGGGGATCTGTTTCTCTCATTTCAGTGATACTGATTACATGAAAGCAGTTCTATTAAGAAGCTGTTCAAATGAAAACAAAATGTATATAATTAAACTCAAGAAGCATTTTCATTCCACCAACCCCCTAGACTCCTCCTATATGTTTCTTAATGCTATACAAAGCCTCTCATGAGTCACGTGACAGGGAAAAGAAAACAATATGTATGAGAAAATTACAATCACCGATTCACCAGCACTTGGCTCAAGAAAAAAAGAAAGGTAGGGGGAGCAAAGGAAATAAAAGACACTAGCCATTACATATACAATTTAACTCAGTGTCAATAGTCCACTTTCTGCGTATATATTTATGGAAAAAATATTTGTCCTTTTAAATGACACAACTTATATTCTTTCACTCTCACAAAGAGGTGAGACCTACACCTTTATATTTTTTTGTCCATTCTCTTTCCTTCTTTATCTATCTCTTTCTCTCACTTGACACAACTTTACATCCTTTAAAATGATACACATTTTTTCCTATATTTATTGGGATTTAGAAGAATAATATTGTAGGAAAATGGTTCTATCATGTCATAAAAATACCAAATGTGGGCCCACCTATTTTTCTAAAAAAAAAAATCACACATTTTGATTGATATGCTACTAAGCACATAACCCATATTTATTTTGGGAAAATAATGTTCACTTCTTCCGACATATATAATAATTTTTAAAAAAAGTTATATTTATTTTTATTTTACATGAGAGAAGCTAGATTTTTATACACACAAAATAAATATGGGTCTTATCTTTTTTTTTCTCTCCTCTTGTGGTGGGCTAACTGAGGATAAGCCCAAACGTATTAGAAGGAGGTCCTCTTACTTAACGGATTATTATCAGTAGTGCAATTATGTTACTCTGACGAGCTTTATTACTTCTAATCATTATAATTAGAAAATAGCGGTAAAGAAAATACATTATAAACAGGAGGGGTATTAATAGCCCAAGAGGGGTAGGAATGAAAATTAAGAAAGTTTGGACAATTTCTCTCTCCTTATCCCTTCTCTCTCCTTATCCCTTCTCTCTCTAACCTAATCTTCTTCTACGTTGCAATTCTCTGATCTGGCCACCACATCTTGCCTGTAAATTCCGCTTGTGATATTTTTTTTGTTATATGAGATAATTCTTCTTATGTAGCAAGAGAAAATATTTTCCCTATTTAAAATACACGGAGAATTTTTAATCTTCTTTCAACGATAATCATGATAGCCAAAGATTCCTAGAAACTTTTCTTTGGGTTGCATAAATTTGGAGCAGGATAGATACCAAAAAATTTCATCAGCAAACAGTGTATATAAGTATATTCTTATATATACTAGTTCATTACATGAAGCTAAATAGATGGTGACATATAATTAAAATAGTTAAATGTGAGTTATTAAACAATTTGAAGTATGACATTTGATTTAAACATAAATGTGTCTCACACGAGCACATATATATACTCACTTCGCGAAAGCCAGAATTAATTTTAGGCAAGTGGGAGAAGATTCAGTGTAACCACTTTTCCTTTTGACTGTTCATATGATATTGCAGAGTCAAAATTCTTGGAGAGATAATTTTAACATTCCAACCATATGACCAGCTAAGTTCATTCACTTCTTTGTACACTACATGTAATTTTCACATCACAAGAGCAATTAGCAACATGCATTATATGTAAACAAAAATTTGTAAATGCAAACTTAAAAGTTTTTCTTTTTTTAAACAAAAAATTAAACCCTCTTCAATATTTCAGATTAGTGTACTGGGTACAGTAATTCAATGATATGTATATCAAAAATTAAAAATATAAAATAAATTTAATACTATCAA